TATTCAATTGTTCCCAGTGACATTGACAACAATCCGGTAATTTAAAGCGGATATGAATTTGCCCCTATCACGCCTATTGATATAGCAAGATCATTTTCTAATTATAAAAGGTCAGGTTTCACAGAAGCTAATTTAGCAATGATTCTGGTAATTAATTTTAATATCGAACATGTCAAAGTTGACTAATTCAAATATTTTATCTATTTTACGTTATTTATTCCACGATTTGTTTATTATTTTATTGTTTTGACAAAGATTCATGTTAGATTTTTATCCGAAAATAGATTTTTATCCATTTACATACAAAATTTTAAAGCGTTTACATACTTATTGTTCAATATTTGTTATATTCTATTACTATATTTATTTAATTATGTTAAGACAATAATTGTTTTTTCTTTTGTAAATACTTTGATATTTAAATTTTTTTTAGTGAGATTCATGTTCCGCCTTCGTTACAATTATTATGTATATATTTATATTATAACCTCATTAGTCGTATATGTTCTTTCTTTAGATATTAAAAAAACCAAAAAAAAAAAAAAACCGAAATTACTGTAATTTTCAACATCTCCATAACTTGTTTGCGCTTTAAAACTTTTTCTAGATACGTCATTCCCTATATATTTAAATACAATATTGCCTTATTGTTTATCAAGTAATTAGTAAGTTTAGTATATACAGAGACCAGTCACTGCATTTTTCATATTTTTTTTCACTGCATATTTCATGTTTTTTTACTGCATAAAAATCCGGAACTTGGTTATCCCTCATCATTTTTATACATAATATAAAGTGTCGAGACTTTTTTGGGGTACTATCGCCCCAAACCAGAATGGACAGTCTACCGCACTCACTATGAACCAGTCTTTTTTTTACCCTTCCTCGTCTTTATGAGTTTTCTCAGGCCAGAAGAGAGGGCGGGGGATTAATGCTAGAGCTAAAAGTCCCCTCCCACCGGGATTTGAACTCATGGTCTTTCGTTTTTTCAGGTTGCTGGGTAATGCGTTTTTTATAAACGCATTAGCCTCCTCAGCCACTCCGCCCCAACTAACTACCAGAGTGTCGCTCTTAATCACTTTTTCAAAAATTTAAGTTTATTTCGATTTTGGAAAAGGAGCGATGACCCCACCTTTCCTCCATCTGGATACGTCTATGGTACTCTCTATACTTAAAGTTACCAGCACAATTTTTACATTGTCGTAGTTTTCATTGAAAATGATGGGGACAACGAGGCAAGAAAAGACCTGTAAATCTTTTTCATTTTGAAAAAATACAGCTATTAAGGTTTTTGAACAGCTATTATGAAAATCGGCGAGTCAGAAGGTATAGATATCGTCGGCACCATGCTAAACTAATGAATGTAATCCTGTTAAACGTTGCACATTCCTTACTTTTAACGTGGTACCTGCGATATATGCTAAATGGTATTCTTGAATTTCTTTCGACAAGCCTATTACATCATTGCAATAACAAAATAATAAGTATCATATATTGCATAGGCAGATCTACGGGAGGAGGGGGGCTTTCGGATTGAAGCCCCTTCTCCCCCAAAATGGTAAAATATAACTATTTCTTATGAAAAATATATTAAAACACAAATAATAAGTATAAATTAATAAGTAATTATAAAATAATAAGTATTACTGTTCATTTAATTGCATTTAATAGGACTTCGAGGATCACTTAAACGTCATTTTAAATAGATAGTTAGGATCTTTCTTCTTCTTCCAAATTAATAATCGATATATATATATAAAGCTTTCGAGCTGAAGCCCTTCCCCTCCAAAAAAAAATTAAATCCTGGATCCGCTAGTGATATATGATAGTGGGGAATGTGTATTGAAAAATATATATTTCCTGTTTATAGAATCCCGATATATGTTATATTTAATTAACAAAAAAAAATTATTAGTAATCTATTTTTTAAAATGACTTCTTAAGGCGCAATTGGATTACAAAGTATTAATGTCAATGATTAGTTTAAATGAATTGATAAGATGATTGATCTTAATCATGCCAGGTCAACCACAATGGTCATCCTAGACCTGTGCAGTGAGGTTGAACATCGATATTATTCTTGAAGTATATTTGATTTCCAAGTTATTACATTTAAATAATTATGGCTTCCTCTACAAAATAAGGTGGTATGAGTTATAACAATTAATCAAATGATATTTGGTATTATAGACGATTATAGAAAAATAAAATGCAAGTAGTAATTTAATTTTGTTCTGAATGTTTATCCAAAAAAATCTAACAGAACTTTAAAACTAATTGAACTGCTGAATTTCTTTATCATATTTTGTAATTTATTTCAAAATTTTGCATACTGAATTAACGGGGGAACTAAAAGTCGAGATTCTCAAAAGGCAGTTAGTTGATCAATAGCATCAATTCTATAAAAATACAAATCAAATTTTCAATCCTCTAACTTGTCAGTTTTGGAGAACTGAAGAGGTTTAAAATAAATAATATTTGCCCTAAGAGGACAGCGCTGGAAGGGCAATAACATCCACATACTCCGCATATTATATGAGGATTCTGAAAGCAGGATTGCCCATGCCCCCCCCCCCAAGGTCGATGGTTGCTGACCTCCCTCTCCCCTTGTCCTAAGATATTTTATTTCTCTTCTCTTCTTAAAAACAGTGCAAACTGAAGTAACATTTTAAAAATCATAGGTCATATACAATTACACTTTCAGTGGTCGCGGTACTATACTTTTCTCTTGTCCCTGGTTTGAAACTTTTCAATCCGAAAATTCATAACCCCGTCAAAATGTGCTCCCTGAAAAATTCAAAATCTCGTCAAAATGTGTTCCCCTCAAAATTCAAAAATTCCCTTGGGGAGCATCCCTGTCTTTGAAGGCTAGAAAGTTCATTTTACCTTCCTCCGAAGACTTCCGATATAGATACGCAGACAAATGGCTGAAAATGAGTTTTATGGACTCAGAGGGCTCTGAAATATTAAAATCTATTGTCAAAACCAGATCGCCAATTTGATAGGATTACAATTTCTTTACCTAGTAGCGGTAGGAAAGTAAAACAAAATCAACATTATAATTATATCTGAATTTATAGCTTTACAGTGTTTTACAGAACTTTCACTTACAGTGTTTTTAAGAACAGAACAGCTATAATTTTTTTATAGAGTGTTGACCGCACCATCGACCATGCGCGGGGTAGACACCACTTTGAGGTATTGTAAACATAAACTGGTTTGTTTATCGGTTTTTACACATTTAAGTATAACAGTTATTAAGGATATTTTTTTTTGTTTATTTATGATATTCACAACTGTATCAGTATTAATACATCAACTAAATGTGTACAGAGGAATATAATTACATGAAAACGCTTGTTGAGAAACTACCCACTGGCAGTACTCTAATAATATGTTTACACAATGAGATCACGAGGCCATCTTCTTTTCAGACGCCTCGGAGGGTTATCAGGAATCGAAGAGGTTAGATACAAGAGAATTGGATGGTTGGATGGAAGATGGATGGATTGGATATTTCTATCTGTAATTTATTTGTGCTTCATGAATTACAATCCATTCAGATTGCATTAAGTTTTATATTTTTACAGGAATTCTTACCAAAATCCTCAATCACCTTATTGATTGAGATTAGTATCCAATACCTACATTACAAGACAATACGGAGTCCAGTATCTACATCCCCGTAGAACAAATCCGATACCTAGGACTCCGCCTGGACAAACGTCTCACTTGGAATGCTCATATAAGACCGAAACAAGAAACTGCTCGACCGCTTACTTTTTTTTTTTTTACTGTTTCCTCTTACTTCAACATTTACTGGACAAATGCTATAGACTCATATACATGACTATAATAAGACCTATTTGGACTTACGGAGTTGAGCTATGGGGTTCCACTAAAACATCAAATTCTTCTCGTATCCAATTCTTACAATCCAAAATCCTTCGTAAAATCCTCAATATTACTTACTTTGACACAAATAAAGTAATCCATAAAGACCTTAATATCCCATATGTTTTCTGGTTTGGCCCAATCCCTATCCTTCCATAATAAACTTCATAACCATCCAATCCTCTTGTATCTAACCTCTTCGATTCCTGATAACCCTCCGAGGCATCTGAAAAGAAGATGGCCTCGTAATCTCATTGTGCAGACATATTATTAGAGTACTGCCAGTGGGTAGTTTCTCAACAAGCGTTTTCATGTAACTATTATCCTCTGTACACATTAGTTGATGTATTAATACTGTATAGTTGTGAATATCATAAATAAACAAAAAAAATATATCCTTAATAACTGTTGTACTTGCATTTGTAAAAACCGATAAATAAACCAATTTATGTTTACAATACCTCAACATGGTGTCCACCCCACGTATGGTCGATGGTGCGGTCAACACCCTATAAAAAAAATTATAGCTGTTCTGTTCTTAAAAACAGTGTAAGCGAAAATAAAATTTTAAAAATTGTAGGCCATAAAAAAAACAATTTCTGTTATTGGTTCCACGTTTTCCCTCTTTTTCTTGATTAAGATCTTTCAGAATTAAAATCCACAACCATATGAAAATATGGTTACCTACAAAAATTCATAACTTCATCAAAATGTGTGTGTCCTTCTCAAAAATTCAAAATTGCTTCCCTCAAAAATGTTAACCCCCTTCATGCTTCCTTGATATCTCGTGTAACGTGGTGACTTCATGATTGACGATCATCCCATAGTGCAACAAGTTAAATATTTTTTTAAATGCAAGGGGTCTGATATTAATGTATATTGTGTGAGTGAATGAATAGCAATGGGGAAAATAATAACATTTGTGTTAGTTACATCGAATCTAGCTCTGCCTTTGTCTAAAAATATCACACAGATTGCTATGGTAGTAACCGACTTGGTAAGCCTAGTCTATTTTATATGGATACAGAGCACGAAGATTGTTATTGTTATATATAGAAAAGATAAATTTATATTATACAAATAATAATAAAATTAATTTTTAACAGAATTGGGTCGAGCCTAGCGCGAAAGTTGACGAACTGCGACTGGAATTCAACAACTTGAAGACCCTGGAAGGATCGATCGGACTGCAGATCGTCGGTCTCACCAAACTCAACATCAGCCACAACCTGCTGGAGAGCATTGGGCCCCAGGGCTTCGAGGGCTTGAAGGAGCTCAAGTGCCTCGACATCTCCCACAACAAGCTCCTCACCCTGAGCGATGCAGCCCAAGTAAGATCCTCTTTCATAGTACACAATAATCTCGAATTTATAGCAAATATATACTATTCAAAATAGCTTTTGACTAAGTTTACCATCTCTACTTAGGACTTGGTTCTATCTCCACAGAAGTACCCCAAGGTTAAGTGGTCACACCAATTCCCTACATTATACATATACTCGATATTCCTTACAGTTTTAACATTCTATTAGCGAGATACGTAGACGACTTATCAATATTTAAAAAACGTAGAAATCCAGTATACTTCACACAAACTCTAAAACTCTGATTAATAAAATTACGTGACAGATTTAAACTTTGAAAAACCCCACTTAACATTTACGTATCAATATGAAACTTGCCTTTCTGTTTTCTTGATAATAACTGATCCCACAGACAGACACTGTACCAATATCTTGGTTTAATGTTTTATCGAATGACATGGGAGTTCACGTATAAAGAAAAAAAAAATTAAAAACCTAAATCAAATGCCTACTTCTATATTGCTACACACACACACAAAAAAAAGGCAAATCTTTCAGACAAAAGCATTTTGACAATAACTAATTCGCATTAGGATGCTAGTAACTTAACATTACATGAAAATAACATAATAAAAAACGATAAACAGCAAAAAAAAACAACAGCTCATAAATGACATGGCCAGGTGACACTTTTACAGACCGAAAAAGAGCTGGATGATGGACCTCCTCCTCAGCTGGTTCTGATATTGTTTGGGCGACTTGTCCGGCAACATTATGGTCCTTTTTGCCAAATCATGACGGCTACCTAAACGTTGCTGTGATTAATTTCTGGGGACTACCGAAAAATATATATATAAACTCGTTCGGGAATCGAACCCACACTGTTTGGAACCAGACACACGATGGGACCTTTGTCCCTTACATACACGGACAGCACGACCTCACTTACTTGTCTAACAATGAATATAAAAAATCTAAGTTTCCGCCCTTGGAAGCCTCGTCGGTTCGCTGCAGTGCTCCAAAAATCATTGAAATTTCGAACTGGTTTGGTTTACGCTAAATATCTCCTTTTTAGAGCAACTTGGATAAAAAATGGTCATATTCAATCTTAAACAGCTTAAAAGTATGTATAAACATTGTGTATAAACATTCTTGTACATAACATTTTTTTCTAAACCCAACAGGAAGCAAATTATCGAGCTTTCAAAATTTATCAATTTCGATTTCTGCACAAAAATGGCTCTTTCAGTTTTGAATGGAAGAATTATGTGACTCTATTTTAAACCTCGTTCAGAGATTCGGAGGTTTTTCTTGAAGATAATCAGTCAATTACTGGAAAGGTAGACGTTTTGAAAAGTATGTTACATGGTGGGCCAGACCCCCATACCGTGTACTCTCCACGCACATCCCAATAAATTGCATATAGTTGTTACTTGTAATTTTTTATTAAATTAATAAAATATTCGTAAAAGAAAAAGAGGTCGCACTGTTCCAAAATAGCGTTCAAAAATAGCAGATTGACGTCTTTGACCTGAATTAGTTTTTCGGTCACTCAGTTTCAGCATTTGGCTTAATTTCGCAATAATTGGACTTTTATTAAAGCTGGATAGTTGGAGAATAGTAAAACACGAAAAAATAATTACTCTGGGCAATAAAAATCGTTCAAACTAAAGTTAAAAATCAAGTTTCTTTTGTAAATAAACGGCCAATAAAAACGAAAAAAAAAATCAGAAATAAAACTTCTGGAGAATACATTTATTTGCCTATAAAACTCATTACTTTTTAAAATATTTGAAGCAGTTACTTGGAAAATATACTTAATCGGCGGAAAAGCGGCACTGCCATAACTGTCTATAGTTCTCTGCCACATCATAAGTACTCATAAATGTTTAGCTTACAGTATGCTATAATGATTGCATTAATATTTTATTGTATTAACGAACAAATATTAATACAATAATTTAATTTTTTTTCTTCAAAGCTTTGTCATTTTGGAAGCTCGATAGTTTATTTCCTGTTGGGTTCAGAAAAAAATGTTATGTATAAAAATATTATATAATTTTAAGCTGTTTAAGATTGAATATAACCATTTTTATCTGTGTCACTTTAATTGGAAGGTTTTTGGAGCAATGGAGCGAACCCACAAGGCTTTTAAGGGCAGAAGCTTGAATTTTTTACAGTCACTGCACACCTAACAATAAAAAAATAAATTACCTGTCCTTTTGCAAACTAGACCCTTTTTTTTTTTTTTTTGTGCTAATTTGATTGGACTATGGGTACTGCCACTCTCTAGAGGTGCCCATTCATTTAAGGACGATATCGCATCACCCTCCACCGAGAAAACGTTCTTCTCTTCTTAAAAAGGCAGATCAAAGTAGAATTAAATAATTTTTAGTTTAATTATCCATTTATTGTTAGTTCCTTGGGTTAAAAATTCGCTGCAATTTAAACACCACATTCCATACATAGGCCTTTATTTTATTCAACTAATCCACTGGTTTCATCATAATGATTGATACAGATGAATACATATTTTGAGCCAAGAAATAAAATCGTTTGGTTAAAAAATGACTAAATTTACTGAAAAATAAACTTTATTAGATTGAATTAACATTTTAACACTTTCACTTTCGAAAGAAATTTGCGAAAATTCGTGTAACATCTAACAGAAGATCAAGGCTGAGGGAAGGATGAAGAATTAATATAGGTTGGTGTTATGTTGAGTGCCAACCTAAAAAGATGTTTTACACTTCTATGTTTTAGTATCACGCTCAAAATAACGGAACACATAATCATTTTCAATTTCCAATGGTTACCAAAAGTGCAGGCAAAAACAACTTCTATAAATTCGTATTGAAGAACGAGTGATTAATTCCTCTCTCACTTCCATTGATGATAACACATTAAAAATTAATATTTTCAACCACCCATAACTATCATAGCGGCCTTGCGATAAGAAAAAATGTAGATAGATAAATGCTATCACAAAATATTGAAGAAAATTGGCCTTGGTAATTTTGTCAAATCTTACCCTGAGAAAGTTTCATATTTACAACATTACTCACTTCATAAATGTTTGTTTACCAAGAAAAGCTATTTATTGCATTATTTCTTTGTCTGTATTAATTTATCTTGCAAAAACGACCATTAAAATATGCATATATTTTTATTAGTTTCCTCATTTTAGTTTCGTTGAGCTTCCTTTGCATCCAGAAACGAAAAAATAAATATGGTAAATATTTACTAATCACATAATAATAATAAATAAATAAATTTTCATAGATTTTGGTTTTCCCCATGTTAGTAATTGCTTGGTTTATTAGTTATTTATAAATCATAATTTTATACAGAAGGAGTGAATATAATAACAACTTTTGCACAAAATCTGTTGTAAAAAATAAAACTTTTTCCTGCGTTTCTACAGTGGTATTAAACATTCGTAGCATAATATATTTTTATTTTAAATTTAGTAAAAAAGATTGGATCAAAATATCATCTAAAAGCTAACATGTTACTGGATACATTGAGTAAATGCCTACATAACAACTGAAATTTTATTTTTATTTTATTATTTCATTTATTATTTTATTATTTTTACATTTTTTTATTTTATTATTTATATATATATATATATATATATATATATATATATATTATTTTATTATTACATTTTTACATTTTATTATTTATTTTATACATTTATTATTTTATTATTTTTATTTTATTAATTTTAATTTTATTTTATTATTTCAGTATATTCCTGTATTTTATATCAAAATTAAATATTTACATAAAATTTCAGACGATACTCGTTTCATTAGAAGACCTGAGAGCATCCTTCAACTTTATCACACATTTAGAAAAAGACTTTCATGGCTTCCCTCAACTCTGCTGGGCTGATATGTCTTATAATCAAATCGAGGACATAAGCAATTCGCTTTTGGATCACACCCAATGCACATACCACGGTGTTAACATGACCCTGAGGATATACTTGCAAGGTAAGAATCAAATACACATTATTATGCACCTTTACGAATTTGTATGGAATGATATTTTATAAATAAACCTGAATTGTGAGTAAATTGAGAATGCATTGAATAATGCATACCCGACGCTGGCCTCTTCTTATTTGAGCTCCATTTCTTATTTTTTTTATCTTTAAACGAGGGAATTCCTGCTTAATGAGTAAATCTCCCTGGTTCTCATCTTCAAGAGAGCCCTTGACCCCTCAAAGAGATATGTATATTTTAGAATTTCCTTCACAACTGCGTTAGAGATAATGATGGTCTAGCCACAAACATGACGAAACGCGATCGCTCCAGTTGGAAGTCATCCTATTGCACATCATTTCATCATCGATGCACAGGCGGATCTACGGAGGGGAGGGGTCTTTCGGGGTGAAGCCTTCCACCACAAAAAAGAATGGTAAAACATAAAGTTTAGGTAATATACTTAATTATTTTGTTCAGATATTTTCAAGAATACCCATACGTATAAAACAAACAAACAAAATCATACTACAACTATACAAACATACATATAAATTTATTTTTAAATATTCAGTATTATAGTTGTTCGTTTCAAAATTATGATGTTGGATTTTTACACATAATATAAACTCCTGGTTTTATTTTTTTTTGTTTTTGCATACCGCCCTCCAATTTAAATGCAAAGTCTGCGCCTATGACCAAGAGAACAAAGCCCTGTAGATGTGATAAATGTGGAAGATGGACGGGAAGATCAGGTGAGACAGGATTCGCAATACTACCGTCCGAGCCAACCTTGTAGTTCAAGCAGAATCATACTAGAATAACAAGCTAGGATGGTTCCAGCAACCTCTTCGTATGGATCCGACCAGAGTCGCAAGACCTATGAGCTCGAGTGCATTGAAGAACAAGAGAAAGACCGCCCGAATCTCAAAAGAAGAATAGAGATCGTGGCGCATACCCAGCCTAAATAGTACTCAACCCAAGACCCTTCATGAGTTGTAGTAGTATAGATTTTTTTATTTCATTATTTTTTTTTAATCCAAATTTTAAAAAATAAACTGAAAATCCTTAATTAAATAATAGATTTAGGGGAAGACGTGACGGTTGAGAGTGATCCTGGCCCCATCTCTTCTGCACAAACGTTGACCTTGAAACAGTTCTTAACCTAAATATTACTGAACCCAAGACCCTTCGTGGGCTGTAGTGGTACAGGTTTTTTTTTTCCCGATTAACATCAAACGAAAATAGCAGGAAAAATCCTGCCTCCATCCACCAAAAATGCAACCTGTAACTAGGTTTACGAGTTAACATCTAACAGCTCTTCTAATTACTCTTTAATCTTCCTTTAAGTATTTAATATAAGAAGTAATTTTTCTATAAGTGAACTTGTGAATTATTTTTTTATTAATTAATTGCGTTGTGATTCAATTCATCTGAATTAATGAGACGTTCCAGAAGTGAAGTATCTTTTAACAAAGTTCAGTTTAGGCGGGTCTGTACAGAGCATAATTACACTTACAATCGATAAGTAATAAATGCATAGAAGACAATTTTTGTTCTATTTTGTTGAAATGTCTATTCATTGCTCCCCCTTCTCTGTGCCTCAATACGTCGCATAAGTTTCGTTAGCGTTATATACGCCACTGCAACTATAATTTTTCCAAGGGGAGCAAGCTTAATTTTATAGTCTCCAATAAGATCTGAATTAGTATTTCAGGAATTACTAACCAAATTGACCGTCCTGACAAGAAATCGACATAAATGTCATCATCAGATACTATCAACTCGTGCTAATCACTGAATTAATCACAAAAGAACCAAAGGTTAGGAAGAAATCTTTTTACATTAATAAAAAAAAATCACGAATTCGCTGTGCTCTAAATTCTACCGTCCGCGGAAACTGCTTCCCTTTTACTCCCACGCAGCCGTTATAGTAATTTGTCCCACTTTTTGACAAATTTAGTACAAATAAGCATAAGTTTACTATGGTTATCATATCACCTAACCAACATATTAAGTTTAGGTAACTTGTTCGATGCACAATTTCTTCTTTTTCTTAAAGGGTATGTTTTTCGATTCTATATAGAATTCTTCAAGAGTTAATATGGGGTAATAGTCTATTAACCGATTTGGGCAGGAGTTAGATGGGAGGGGGAGCTCGCTCTAGATCATACGCGACAACCCTGTCTGGCGCTTTGGTAAAAACTCTTGAGCATGTCCAATAGACACCTTTTATTACGAAAGTTTCATTGAAATCGGTGACACTAAGTCCGTGAACTCACCTTGTAAGTGTATTGAGCTCCTCATTTCGTCAGCTCTGATCAGGACAAGTGGGGCACCCAAAAAGAAACAGACCAGCAGTTGAAACTCATACATTTTATCTTCTTATGTAGATTTTTGGAAACTGTATTTTGTTTTCCATTTTCCACCATTTCAAGAAAAATAATCTACACCATCTTTTAATAACTACATTTGAAAAGTAAACTTTCGTTTTTATCAGATTCTCAGATACATTTGTTTATTTCTCATTCCTACTACCGACAAAATTTGATAAATGAGAAGAGCATGGCGAAAATAACGTACATTAAAGATACAAAGAGTCAACACAAAACAATTTCATTAACTACAGACAGTACTGAGGACTATCGATTTTTAAGTTTTGAAAACATTCTTATTTTCGAAAAAAACTATGAAATTCATTCTGAGAAAAAGGGTTTATCCAATATTAATGTAAGGTCACGATAAGGTTTTGAAGCAGATATGTTCCTTATCAATTTTCCATTAAATGAATATACTGACTGAATACTATTTTTATATTATTAATGGTAATATTAGTTCTATCATTCATGAACGTTAATTGAGAAACTATCCCTCAACATAGTAGTAAATGGTCTATCCAGTTGTAAATACACAAGTCCTTCACAATAAGATGAAAATAATTACTTTCATTTCCATGAATGACGAAATCCCTGAAATAAAAGAAACATTTACGTTGAGTTATAATTATTATTATCAATGGGGAATTCAAGGGGAGGTTGGCTTTCAATCAGAGGACTTCTTACCTTTCCCTCTCTCCCCCGGTTTTTTTTTTTTTATTTAATCGTCCTGTTTTCGTAAAAAATAAAATAATCATCATAAATGGTAATCCAAGCACTACTAAAAAAATACTAGAATTGACTTCACTCTTTGGCACAATAGGTTGGATATGCACACTAGTGGATCCAGGATTTAATTTTGGAGGGGGAGGGCTTCAGCCCGAAAGTTGTTTTTTTCATAAAAATAACGATAATTACTTTGGAAAAAAAGAAAGAAACTAACTACCTGTATGAAATGGTGTTTAAGTGATACCTAAAGCCCTATTAAATGTAATTACACGAACAATGATACTTTAAGAAATACTTTTTAAATTTTTTTTTCGATAAAACATGGTTATATTTTACCATAAATCCGCCCCTGGATATGCAGCATAACTTTAGCTTTCATCCCATCACTTGGATACCAAAGTTGCTCATAGGAATTCAAGATATCATAGCTTGTTTTTCAAAAGAATAAATCGAAAAACAACTGAACCTTGGACTAAAAATATTTATATATTTATCATTGAAAAATTAAGTGAAATAATTTACTCCAAAAAATGACATTGTATTTAGAAATCCACTCACACTAATTAGCGTTGATTTTATAATAGAAAGCCCTGTAAATATATTTCAATTTTAGTTTAATTCTGGAACTGCTGCCTTTAAATATTTGCAGACTGGTTGGCATTAAACAATAATCACAATAAAATGACCACTAGAAATTTAGTAGGAATAAGGCAAGAAATGATACAAGTATTATAAATTTAATGAACCATAAAGCATTTTAATTTCAATAAAAATAAAAATTGAAAGAAACCCAAAGATATAATTAAATTGCTTCTCTGGTCCTTTGAAATGTATCATTTAAAAAATATCTTGACTTTTAATTTCCTGAATTTGATCTTTTACATGTTTTTGAATTCTTATTTTAAAATTAACTTTGCCAATACATTTAACAATCAATGTTTGTAATTATCATTAATGGTAGGGTCAAAATAACGCATTACTTGAAAATAACATTTAACATGACTAGTGTTATGCATGCTGCTTTTGTATTATCTTTCATGATATTACATTTTTTTCTTTTCATTTTATGATTTCATTCTATAAATTTAAATCCATGTTTATCAAACAAGAATTACTTCACGCAATGAAAATAAAACAGTATTTTGATTTTAAATTGTTGACAGGTAATCATGGGATTTGCAATCTGCAGATAAGTGAAAAAATTATGAAAATTCAAAAGCAAAGAGATGTCGAAATGCATGGGCTTACTGATTGTCAACATGCTAACAGCACACAAATTCACGTAGCATCAAGTTTGCTGGTATGAAGAGAGCAAATGATGCTGGGGAACAGCTATTTGCTTGCCTAATAAAGAGCTGTGATCAGGCACTAGGAATTCCAAGTAGCAGCAGTTCCTAGTGATAGAGATAGTTTTGATTGTGTGTATAATAAAGAGACGTGATATTTTTTATAATCTCGAACAGGTACTCTTAAGAAAGATGTACATATAGAAGCTTGCCAGGATGTCGGTGTGTTAAATAATCTGTATTTATGAATGTGTATTATGTAAGAAGCCACTATTGAATAGTCAACATTCACCTAGAAAATAAGGAAATATAAAAAGCTTATCACCTTTTTCCATTTTACATCAAAGTAAGTTGAATGTTAAACACAAGCTTACCTTTTACAGTATTTTTAGTTAAAAAGTTAAACAAAAATAGTTAAACTGTCTAATTAAGACAATATATATATTTTCTAATTAAATAAGACTAACTGTGTCTTGTTCTTATTTGTGAAAACAAATAAATGATGTTGCTTGTTTTCTTACTGTACCTGACTTTGCTAGTACCAATAAAATTATGTATATTTTTAGATCAAATTAAAAAAATAATGCACATGTTTTTAAATTTTCCACTTGTTTGACTACTTTTGTTTTTACTTAATTATAAGAATTAGCTATATTTTTTTAATTATTATTCTATATGTTTTCCGATATATGTTCAATAAGATTTTTGGGAAATCTGCAATAATAGAAAACTGTAAAATGATTTCTCATTATTATATACTTTCCTGAACATCCAGGAAAATGTAAATATACAATTTTAATTAAATTTTTGTTTAAAAAAATCTCAAAATGCCTAGTTAATGGTTTAGTAGAACCATCAAATGCTTTAGATTCAAAATTCTAATTTCTAAGTTATTAATTAATAAGGTGTAATTGTATTTGTGTATATTTTATTAATATCTCTTCTGGAACTGACATTTCATTTGATATAATTGGATATATGCAAGACAAATAATAAATGTTAAATACTGAACACAAGAGTATGTATACAAAAGCTATAGGTTTAGAATTATTGCTATTATTTACCTATTATTCCTAAGGCATTTTAAAAAGAATATATATGCACATTATATTAAAAAAATAAAAAACAATAATTTATTTGCTAAAATTTCATATAACAATAAAAAATGATTCTAACAAATATATATGAAATTAATCATACTTAAAAATTAATTCAAAACAAGGGAAGGATTATATTTTATTATCCAGTTGACTGTGTTTAAAAGAACATTCATATTAAAATGTTGGGCAATGGCTCTAAAGGTCCGTAAGTGCCTGCCAAGCTGTTCACGATCAACCAATGATTGAAATTCTCCAGCACAAGTACAATGAACTGACATGTTTTCCATTTTAATCTAAAAAAAATAAATATATATATATATATATGAAAATTATAAACAAATTATAAAATTACTTGTGATCCATAGCCTTTTGTAATTAAATTTTTAATGCCATTAATTTAATATTTATTAGAGAAAAAAAAATCTTTAAATCCTATTTTTATTTCATTACCAATTATAAAAAAATCTGAAACATTGGAAATAAAGAATACAAAAGTAAAATCACTTGACCAGAGCATTGAAGATTGTTATTTCTATGTAAAATTTCTTGTTATGTGGAGTGATATCAGAGGAAAATATTGACTTTCAACTAGTAGTTTAATTATTTTAAAATATGTAGCAATTGATTTTCACACTTAAATTTAAAATCAATTTGTCAGAATCAATTTCCTTAACATGTCCTATAACACAAGTTTGCAACTTTGATGGTGAGTAAGTTTTTTATTTCCATAATTATTAATTTACTTCTTTTTTACTAATGGTTTTAGTAATATGAGCTATAAAGTTTTAAGAGGAATAAAGGGATTATTTATTTAGAAAAAAAAACTGAGAACATTGATTCTTCTGTCTCCCTTATGTTTGATCTATTTCTCTTTCACAAAAAGAATGCTGAAGCTTCTTGTTTAACTGAGAATAACCTGATTTACATATGCTTTCCTTTATTAATGTTCTCTAGTTAAAGTTTGTTCCCCTTGTTGGTGTCTATTTCTCTAACACGGTTATTTTTCCAAGAAGGTACATTTGATTTGTGTTATTTTTACATTTATATACATGTTTTGTCAAGGATTCATTGCTCTAGTCATTGTTTTTGCCATGTGATTAGTTTGATCATAATAAAACTTAAAATTTCTATTTCACATTACAAAAAAAAATGTGAAAATACACTGTGTAATTAATTACAGATCTAGACTTTTTGGAAAACATAAGAAAGCAAAACGAAACAGCAACTTTATCTATAATAAATGTAACTTTTATTCAAAATTAGCAGAAAAAGTTATAATGATTAACTAAAATTAAGTCATAGCTCTCTCTCTCTCCAATAAATAAAAACACCATTATTAACTTAAAATACCTGCAAACAGCGGCGACATTGAATATCTTGTAATGTGTATCCCATCGATTTCCTGTTAACAATGTCAAGCAGAAGCCCTTCAATTTCTAGGTTATCATAATTAGTTCCACAAATTGGGCATTGCCATACATGCCTAAAACACAATTAATATTATGTACAAAGAAAATATATTACTTTAAACATAAATAAAAATCATTAATAAAACTAACACATCATTTTCTATCGTCCTGTTTGTGTCCTTGCAAAGATCTATGTCTCGACAATGATTGCAGGAGCGACAGATTACTTCTGGAAGCACAATTGTTGCACATGGATCTTTCCACTCAGAAATTTCACTAAACTCTCCAACACCTATTAGTCTTAATAAATTACGTCTCAAACGGCTGACTTCTTCCTCCACACTTCGATCCAAAGATAAAACCTGAAGAAATCATTGCCTTGAATAAGTAAAATTTTTTAAAAATAATAATAAAAATTATGCAAATTTTAAATAACAAAACATAATACTAGTGATGATGAAAACTTAGAGCAATGCAATGTGTAAATGAAGCTCTATAATTAATTTAGTAGAGGTACAATAATTTAAATAGAAATTTTTAGATATCAAAAGGGTTACACACAGTTAGATGCCTGGCTCCTGAAACATATTTCTCAATTATCTCCACGGTAACAACTACAGTTGGAGTCAGAAAATTTTATCATCAGAAAAACAATAGATAGAGAAAAGACCACAGGAAGCTTTTGATATCAAGCAGACATGCACTTAATCGGAATGACTGGAGTACGGCATTTAGTGGAAAGGTACAGCGATGTAGGGTCTATAAAAAGTCAGAATAGGAAGACATAACCACCAGCGCTTAACCGACTCCTCCTTATCACTGTGGATCCTCCTACAACAAAGAGATGTAGGTGTTGTTCAGACACGCATGAGACCCATCTTCATGTGTTACATGAATGACGACCACATTTATGGTAATTGGGACCCTAATAAATTTGCTCCTTTACCATAGTAGGATAAATCCAGAGAGCTGGCTGCTCCTTACTGTTTTACCTCCAAAACATAACCACTATATCTGTAACTAGTGAACTACTAGTAGTCCCAATTACCGCCCATCCCATAGTACCATTTTTGGAACTTTAGGTTCGAGATGGCAAGAATGGTCACAGGTCTGGGGCAAGCCACAACGGTACCCCTCTCCTGAGGTAGCGACTCTTCTGCTACTATGGGAGATAGCCAGTTCTGTACCACGAGTTGAAAGGAACAGTGCATTTATTGAGCCGATAAAATATTAATAAGCTTAACCATAAAAGGATAGACCGATTATCCCTCCTAGCCATTCTTTATACTTTAGAAAAATAAAATACCAAATTAATCAAGAAAGGATAGTTTGAAATATAAAACATGCCGAAAAATATAGAGAAAATCATTTAAATAGATTACAGCCTAAACCATTGAGAGTATAAAGGCATAATATTGCAAAAGTAATATAAACAGATTAAAGTAATAAAAAGTACTTTTATCATAATGTCTAATAAAATTGATCTAATAAAGATATTCTTATTTATAATACTGAAATGATGTTTTAAACCTCACATCTAAACACAAAACATAACAGATCTAACATTTATAAAATCAACTGCCATGGTGGTTGTTGTTACATGATAGGTTAGGCGGGCACTGAGTTGGGGATCCCAATTCTATAGAATGTCCATAATAAATTTCAATAATCAAAACCATATAAATCATGAATAAAAAAATATTTACTTTGCAAACAGCTTTCACAAACTCCAGGGCTGGTACCATTTCTCTTTTAGCTAAGCCTTCTGCCACTATATCATCTTCACCAAGAGTATACGTTGGCAACTTTTTTTGAATTTTTTGAGTGATCCTAAAAGTTTAATTGCATTTAAAGGAATAACATTGCCATATATCAATACGTTTATATTAAACACCAATGAAAATTGTCTAGATGTAATTAATATCTAATTTAATTATTCAAACATAAATTACTTTGCAAAAACATAAAGAGACATAGGTATATATAAAAAATTAATTAATTATAAATAAATCAAGTCTTTATAAAAATGTATCTAGTAGATATATACTTACATAAACAGTTTCTGTGATAAGTCTCCAGATATTAATTCTTTGGTAAATTTGACTGTTGCTTCATCGATTCCAACACCAGTGGGAGCAGTTTGGGTTTGACTAAGTGATTTCAATAAACGTCTCCTTGGTGTTCCAAGATTAGGAACTTGATCACACAAAAACTGATAAACAGCGCTCATGAATCCAGCTATCATCGTTGTGAAGTGATTTTGAACATTAGCTTTCTCTGGAAGGCATTCACTCAAATTCCAATTCATAACAATTTCTGGCTGTTTAAAAAAAATAAACATGCATCAATAAAAAATAAAAATAAAATCTTCACGTACGGATTTAGAGAGGTTTAATCTTTTATAAAATATTGTAAAATGTTAACGTATGGTGTAAAATATTTCCTTTATTTTATAATTGCAATTTCAATTATCTTCATGTTTTTGTATTAAATTGCAGCTTTTTATTTTTGTTTTATAGAATAAATATACAACAAATTCAGTATTTTTATTAATTTGACAGAAGCAATCCGATATGGGAGCAGGGTTACAGAGATCCTACAGTAGTTGATGTACTAGGATTGGAATCAAGATGATTAACTATCAATTTTTGATAATGTAATAATTATATTGTGACATAATTTTATACAAAAGTATATTTTAGCAATATATGAAAGAACATATTTGATTTGAGTCGAGGATATTTCCAACAAAAAATAAATATTAAAATAACCAAAGTAAAACTTAAACTTACTCCTTCTTCATCGAGATCAAGAAGCATTTGACTTTCTTCATCAAAATTGATTGACATAGTTTGCTCTTTTCTTCCTTCGCCAACATCTCCTAGGCCACCAGGAAGTTTTCCTTTTACGCCACCATGATTAGCCTTGATAGATGAAAAGAAATACAAATGTAATAAGAGTGAATTTAATAGTTTAATAACTTCAATATTGGAAATTAATAAGGATAAATTTAAATTTTTTTAAATTTATTAATAAGGATAAATTAAATTTAAAAAAGAATATAAAGAAAGTAGAGCAACAAATATTTTCACATAGGCAGAAGCTGCTCTGTCTTAATGCTCATTACAAAGATAATTCTAAAAAAATAATTATTTTTATTCAGTTCATAATAACTAGTTTATTCAGATTATAGTTTAGAATAATTCTAATAAGGGAATCAAACCTGGGGGAAGCAATATTAATATAAAACTATTGTAAATAAAAAAGTTTAACTAAATAATAAATCTAGACACTTCCACTCTGATTAGTACTTAGGAGCAACCTTAAGGAAGTCATGTATGGGGTTAGTGAAATGACCACAAGGTCTATTTGCCGGACTAGCTCCTTCCCCAGTAACATTAATTTAACTAGAATATATGGAAGGTCACAAAATCCACAGACACTAAGAATTGTTCAGAAAAAAACTTATGATTTTTTTTTTACATATATTGACTGAGCTATAGATCTACCACACTTCCATCTGTGGCATCCAAGAACAATGGATGCTGGAGAAGGGGCTGGGACACTACCAGACAATGATGATGATGAAGAAAACGATGGTAACGTGGGACCTGAATATATTTTAGTATAAAGAAAGAAATTTAGATTTTTTGTATAGTTAAGAAATCTCAATAGTCAAAAAGAAGGGCAATACAATTTCATTTAACTACATGTATTTGAATTATTTTAGAAAAACTTTTATAACTTCTTCATATAATAGGTTAGGTTTACTTGTGGAGTTCCAGCAACTGTACTGTATTTAAGTACTAAGAGCAACAATGATAAGTAGTACATAATATGCCCTCATTGATGAGCAGTTTCCTTGATTAGTTAAGATAGAACTTCCAATGGATCAAAGAATTGATTAATTATTGGAATATAGCAGCAGATCCAGCTCACAATTTTGGAGCCAAAAGACTAGCAACAAGAAGACAGTTGGAAGATGAAATCCACTCTGTACTAGTCAGTTGAAGAATTCAAGATAGAAGTGAATAATAAATGTTAGTAAGTATCCATGAGTGATAAATCAAATCATAGCTGCCGAATATTGTGTATAGGTGAAGGTTGATATAAATATATTAGGTTCATTATAAGTAAAATAACTGTAAGAAAGACTTCTAATTACTTTAACAATTAAACATAACCAGAGCACATCAAAACTACTTCCTAAATTTATCAATGAGATCACAAAATAATTTATACAAATGTAGTTAAAACACTAAAATAAATTCACAGAAAACATAAATAGAAAAAGACGTACGGGATCCAGCCACATTAGATACTCCCAACATTGACTATATGTCATTTGTATACTATGGAAAATTTCTTTGTTTCTAATACTTGATACTACAAATTCAATATAATTCACTGCATCCTCTACAGTTTGTTTTTTTGTGCAAAGTATTATTTTGTTGAAATTGGCATATACAATTATTGATCCCAACCTTTTGAACTCTGCAACTAACTAAAAGAAACATAAATATCAGACATTATAATCAATAAATCAAGATACTCTCAAATTTAAAAGCCAGATACCTGCATAAATAATTTTTTCATTAAATTATGTAATGTTCTTCGAAGAGCTGGGTCATATAATAAAGCATTTGGTGATCTTAACCATCTGAAATATAAAATTAAATAAAAATAATAATTTCATTAATTTGATGAAAGGTTTTACGGAATATTAATAATAAAACAAAATATTTACCGATAAAAATGAACAATTTGGAAATCAGCGAAGACATTGCGGAATACTGAGACATCCCTAAGCCAGGCATTGACCATATAACGAAGAATTCTTAAAGCTCCACCACAAGATGCGCTTTCATCATAAGTAGGCAGAAGTGGAGCCTGACCAGAAACCATATCCTCCAAAGAAACTTGAGGCATTGCATCAAATGCAATGTTTGAACTGGTTCCTATAATTTAATTTTATAACTGGTTAGCTTTGCATTTTTAGATCCATTGCCACAACCCTACTCCACTTAGGCGTTTATACAACAATAAAAATTAACAATAGAACAATACACCACAAATTAAACATTCTAGCAGCATATTAAATAATCTTACAACTTATTATGGTTTATTATAATAATCATTATTATGCAACTGCAACTATCATCAGTTTTTTTTTGTTTCTTTTAATCGTTGTCATTCAGTTCCAAAACTTTTAGTTTTCATTATTGATTCTGTTATAGATTAGCCAGAATCTTTCACTCATCATGCTGACTTTTTCTTTTTCATATAGGTGGTAAATTTTCTATTTATTAAAACAGAGTAGAAGTATTTAACTGAAGAAGAGATGCTTATAGTAAATAGATATTATTCCTTTAATTCCCAAAAATGTGAAAAAAAAGTTTTCAAATTTTCCTGAATGGATATCAAATCCTGAATTACTATGAATGGGTTATTTATTTATTTTTAATGACAATTTTCTAATTTGTGAAAATGTGGCATTTCAAATAAATGCACTTACAATCAATGCTATATATTTTTTTATTCTTTATTAAGAATATTCAGTAGTAATTACAATTAACCTTTTAATATATATTTTGTAGTCAAATAAGGTATAGACATTAAGGAAGAACAAATCATTATAAGAATGAGCACAGTAGTTGTAAAGGTAGTGATGGATATAGTTTTAGTTATGATGGAGGTGTAAAAGAATGGACTAATTTCCTAATCTGTCTAAAAAGTTTAGCTTGCTAATTCTAGTGGCCTATCCACGCATTTATCCTGCAACCTCTGTACAAGATCCACAAGAAAACGATATCATACAAAATGATTTTGAATAAATTATTGTTTGTGACTGAATTAATTTAATGAATTTTTTACAAGATAAAAAGCACAGAAATTTACCTATAACAAACTCAACATTATCAAAGATTGATATTTTCTTCTTTATTTATATTGAATAAGCTCCTCGATAAATGTTTCTCTTTGTATGATTATTGTTTAAACTTTTATTTATTGTATACAACAATGTTTTGAGAAATGTGAAAAGAAATGGTTTTCAATAATGTTTTCTTTCTTCCCAACTGAATAGTTATTTGCTGCAAATTATGACATAGCACAAATTAAACGATTTATCAATTTATAAAATAAATTGACTGACTTTGTCTGTAGTGAGTGTATAAAAAGCTTATTTATAATAACATAAATAAAATATATACCTTCAACATCATGAACTTTATGGGATTGGAGGAGAGTATTGACCGCTAAACTATCAATATCCAACTCAATACACACTGTTGTATAACAGCCTGGATTATTGTTTACCACACTTGAACTTTCCTCAAAATCAGTGAGTAGTCTAATAAAGAAAATAAACTATTAAAATCTGATTGCAGAATTAATTAATGAATTAAACAGAAGAAAATATTGCCATACTTACGTATTATCATCTGCTTCTCTTCCTCCTAAATCTGGGCGATCTCTTTCAGAACACCAAAGAACAAAATTATTCTTCATAAGATGTCTTGCATAAAATAGATCAGCTCCAAACAGAGAAGCATCTCGAGGAACATTGCCAAGTGGAACATGGAAATACCTAAATAAAGATTAAATATGAAGTAAAATAAAAAATTTTTACGTAAGGATTACATTCTATATTTTGTTTTTCCAAAATAACTATTCCTTTGAACTTTTAAAGGTTTTAAAAATTAGTTTAATTGCCAAAATTATCGTGTGTACTCACACAGCTCTAAAGAAGTCCAGGAAGTCATTGAAAAAAAAACAAAGAAAAACTTGTACCACTACAACCCATGAAGGGTCTTGGGGGTTCAGTAATATTTAGGAAAAGCATTGTTTCTTGGTCTACAGTTATGCTAGAAGGTGATTTGACCGAGATCACACTCAACGACCAGGTTTTTTCTCTTTATCAATTATTTAATAATTGATCAATTTAATAATTGATAGAGTGTACCCACTCTATAGAGGCTGGGTATGCCCCAGGAGGATCTATCTAGCCAGGGTCATCCCACGGCCGATGAAACAGAATAAATAACTTTTATGCCATGAGCAGGGATTCGAACCTGGGATCAGTACCCTACCACTGAGCTACCCCACTCCCTCAGGAAGTCATTGGAAGAGTGAAAAGAGGCCAATACTCTTTCTTAGTATACCATCACTGGTGGGGAGTTTGCTTTGATGGCACCACAAAGCTCTATTTTTGTGAAAAAGGAGTTAAAACAGCTGCTAAAAACTATCTGGACAATATTTTGGAACCTATTGTCAAGCCTTTAAATGATATTCTGTTCGCTAGAAGTCATTGGGTTTTCTAGCAAGATTCCGCTCCAGCTCACAAGGCCAAGTCAACTCAGCAGTGGCTGCAAAAGAACATTCTAGAGTTCATCTGTGCCTCGGATTGGCCCTCAGGAAGCCCTGATCTCAAACCACTAGATTATCATCTTTGGTCCGAACAGGAGAGGATGGCATCTCACAGAGCTCAACTTGGAAAGCCTCAAACAATCTCTGGTCCGAGCAGTTGAGCGCTTTCCTCAAGAAGTACTGCATGCTGTTATTGATGACTGGCTACAGAGGCAAAAGGGGGACATTTTGAGTCATTTCTTTTTTGTTTTACTCTCTATAAATATACATTTTATTTTCTAATAAAGTTTTTGACAAAATTAATTTTTCTGATGAAATCTGTATATATTACCTCGTAACAAGATTTATGATAGGACTAGGTATTATAGAGTAAAAAATAATAGTATTTTAAAAAGAACTGATTATTCAATCCATCCTTGGTCATGGACTACTTTCGTATTTACTTTAATACATTGGTGAGTTGTCAGTGAAAATTTAAACTAGGATGTTGTAGTCGGGTTACTTCCCAAACGACTGCTCTTTACAAGCACATTTTGTCTCATCCTGTTCATCAACATATTAACATACCTATAGAAAACTACATAAATACATCAAATTTAGGCACTACTGAAATAACTGTATTTTAAAACAGTACTTATGTGATTTCATATTGAGACTGACGATATATCTGACATAGATTAACATTTTTATAAAGTGTTCTATGGACTAAAAGACAAAATTTATGGTTAGCAGCAAAAATGGCAACAATTTCAATGCTATAGATATTGAACGAACAAAATGCGTTTGAGCACGTAGAGAAACTTAGGTATTTGGGGTCTATGATAATAACAAAAAACGGAATTGAAGAGGAAGTTAAGGCTAGGTTAAAGGCGAGAAATGCTTGCTATTTTTTAGTTTAAAACTACTTAGCTCACAGCTGTCATAAAACTTAAAAATTAGAAATTACAAAACCATTATTATTTCTCCTGTTCTTTATGGATGTGAAACGTGGCCACTTACATTAAGAGATCAGCAACCAGAGAATTTAAGAGGTTATAAGGCTGAATGGCATGAATTGTACCCGATTAAAATAATGTAATATAATGTAATTATGTTAAGGCAAATAAAATGGGCATGTAAAATTGCTGGGCTTAATAATGAAAGAATTCTTAAAAAGTTAATATGCTCTTTGCCGACTGGTAAGTTATTATCCCCGATCAGGCAATGTTGGGTTTAGATGGCGCCCGGAAGACGGAGGAATGTTGACATCAATTGGTGGTATCGGCATAGAGCCTTTGGGTTTGTTAAGCCTTATTATTATTATGTCTGTATTAAAAATTCTTCAGAGATACTTTCATACACTGAAAATATGATAATGTATTTTCAGAATTTTTGAGTTTCCTTCAAGGAAACTGGAAGTGGAAGGTAGCCAACTACTACACCAAGTTTCTATATTCACTGGCGTCATGCTTACTAAAATTTAACAATATCTTCAAATAGCATGCAAGTACATTCCGTGCATTAGAATGAATTAATTAAGTAGTCGGTTTTTAAAAATTTAGTTTTTTTTCTCTGTAGTATTCACTTGCTCTTAGTTACTACATAAAACAAAACATGTCAATATGATGAAAATTAAATTTTTATTATCTACTGAAAGTTGTTGGTGTTTTCATGTTACTCAATTTTACATTGAGAATGGCAATAATATCCATCCATCTTCTTTTCCCTGTTCTAGGGACCTTCGCCTATCGCTATCCCTTTGTTATCTACATTTTCATATAACACCATTCAGTCTCAAATCAAAACATTTTTCTTTGAGAATCTTCATAAAGAAAAAAGCAATTATTGTTATTTTTTTATCTTTGCTTTATGAATAAATACAGCGTGTCTACAAGAATGTCAGTTGGATTTCCTGACTTTTCATGGCTGAAAATAAAATTTCCTACTCCTTCCTACTAAATGAGGAAGTGAAAAAAAAAATGTCTTTAATTCACAAATCTTTATTCAATATTTTTAAATAAAAATACATATTAACAAATATACACTTTCAAGTTCCAATGAAAATTATGTCAATTTCAATAACATCTTTATTTTGTTCAAATTGACAGTCAGGAGCTTGGAATATAAAAAATTTCGATATCAAACAAATACATCTTCATTATTTCTTTCGATTAATTATTGATTGCGCAAATCATTAATTGAGAGTTTAAAATAAATTTGTTTCATTTGAGAACAATGTTTTAAGCCGTAAATTGATACTTGTAAATTAATTAGATATAAATTTAATAACAGCACAGGAAATGAATTCATCACAAAGTCAGATTAATGAGATTGAAAAAGAATAAACAGATTTGGAGATGTTCCAAGTCGTGAGGACAGAATGTAAACAAAAAATTATTTAGATGCAAAACTTTTTAATTAATTAATTTTTTTTTAATTTTACAACTTTTTATTTTTAGCAGTGCATTTTTGAAAAATTTCCTGACAACCCAATTTTACATATCTGAAGAAAACTTGTGAATAGTTATTTTAATGAAACAAAAATATTTTATCTATATAATAAAACAGTGAAGAACAATAACTTATTACTTGAAACTAAATTTGTTTGTGAGGTCATACTGCATGGGTACATAATCTATATAAAAATAACATTGTCACATCTGACTACATGCCTAATGAATTTTTTTTAGGAAGCTAAAGAAATTGGTATTTTAATACATTGACATAACTATTTACCTGCATTGTTCAGTTTGAAGAGCTATAGCTGTGTCCAAGTTAAGATAATTTTTTATCATGAGTTTGGAACCTAATTTTTGCCACTCTATTGATGAATAAACATTTTCAGTATCCTGAGCATAGATAGGGACCACAGGCCATTCGCTAAGAGAAGGCATAGCCGAAAGCAAGAGTTGAACATCTGTTATTAGAAAAATATTGAAAATGAACTCAATGAATCAAGATTTACCAAAATACAATAATAATAATAAAATAACTAAAACATCATAAAAAGTTTAATTAAGAGGCTAAAAAATAGTACATGGGTCATGAACAACATTAATTTAAACGTTTTAGGAAGTTCGGATTATATCTGTCTTTCTTTGAGAATTTGATACTAGAATCCTTCATGATTCATATGTTACTGTAAATAAACTGTTCTTGTTTAAGAGAAATTTACACATAACCAGAAATATGCATTATTGAGATAGATTTCAAAATTTAAAAAATCTCATGTGGCGTGCGCATCACACAACTATCACTTATCACCCTCATTTAAACAGAAATAGGTATATTCAGATAAAGAGAAGTGAAAATATACACATAAAATGAAAAAAGAAAATGGCCACATAAAATGACCAAAATTATATTTACTATGCTATGTAATAAGCTTACATATTTAAAAATCTCAGCTCCAAAAATACTGAATATTAAAGAAGTGTTGTGACAGCTGCTTGATGTCAATGTGACAATAAATTAGTGGACAGTGTTCGTGGCCTAACCTTGAGTTCAAAGTCAGAGTTGAATTGAATATATTAGTTGTAATAAATGCTCTCTATATAGATGACCAAGAGAGTGTTTTCACTCAGAAAAAAATATTATTCATCTGTCCATCATACTCGAGATGTCTAACAAGGTTCTCAATTTTACTTACATTGATAATCAATAAAACATTGAAAAAATCTGGGTTTGAAATTGTTGATTCATTGCAAAATGTGCACAGTTTGTGTTTACTTTACCTATATATATACTTTCACTAACCTATATTTTTAATATATAGGAAGGGAAAGTATTGGAATCGTGAACTTTTTAGAATCTGGCTTTTCAACGGAATTACAAGTTTTGAAGTTCCCTGAGTCCAAATAACCAAGTTCCACTGAATGGTCTGCGAGTGTGTATGTGAACAATCTAGGCCAAAAACGAAAAGACATACAAAACTGGTATTACATATTTAAGCTTTGTATATGCTTCGGATATTACAGCAACTTGTTCTTAAAAATCGGTTAACCAGAAATGCCATTTCATATAATTGATTTTACACATTTTTACAATTTTCATGAAAATGGCTGACTATTTTAATTAAATTTGTTATTTCAGTGTAAATTCAAGCAATTTTAAATATATTGTAGGTCTTATTTTAATTGATGTTCTCTATTGGGGCTTAAATGACTTATTTTTTAAATTTCTTCCTCTAAAGTACCTTCAATTTTTTTTTTATTTGAAGTAATTAACCATTTCACATTGTAACCTGCTAAAAAAAAGGTTTAATATAGAATATGGATGAATTTAATTATTAACCAAAGGTAATATAAGAGATCATAATTGAGAACAAAAGAAACCCAAGCTTGGCCAAAAGGTTAGAATAGGCTTACACACGTAATACATGGTAATTATAATATGGGCTACGATAATATTATATACATTGTGTAGTTAGCATTGATATTATTTAATATTTAATTTTATAGATTATAAAATAAATAAATATTAATATTAAAATAAAAATTTGTATAAATACCAAATGTCAAACAAATAAAAATACCTACAATGAAATATAAAGAATTATAACATCCTTTTTTTTAGTGGTAGTCTTGTCAGACTACAAATATTTTGTGGCACTTCATTGTTTACTATAATGAAAAAAATAATTAAAATATGCAGTTGTAAAAGAAAATGGTTTGTGACAAAAAAACCTTTACATAATATGAAAAACACTATAATTGATTACAGTAATTAATTGTTTAAAATGATATTTTTTACCATCTTCTCTTCCATTTTGGTATTTTCACTTCTCTTCTACTTCTGTTAAAATGAGGGTGATAAGAGAAGTAATTAAAATTAAAAATGAATATATATATATATGCGAGGGCGGGGTGACCGAATGGGCTAACGCGTGTGCACTGCACCGTTGTTGCCTGGCAACCGGATATATGATTCTATGATATGAAAATAGTCACGAGGTCGCGTCCAGGTGCCAGAGGGGATTTTAAATTCCCCGCCCTCACCCTCTGGTCTGGGAAAATCCCGTATAGCCTAAAAGGCGAGGTAGGGAAGAACAGAAAAAAAAAATATATATATATATACATATATATGCATGTAAATGCATACACGCAAATATTTATCTAATTATCTTCAAAAACATTTTACCTTGAGTTGACTGGATAGCAATGAAAGTAGGCCCTTTCTTCTCATCCCTATATATCTGTAGAGTTGCTTGTATGTGCCTATATGCCTGTTTTATATCAGTTTCAAATTTCACATCAAATACGACTCCTTCTGGTGGTAATTTATCACTTTCCTCACCATTAGAAATTCTAAGAATAATACAATTACAGTATATACAACTAATATTGTATTATCACTTCAATGTAAAAAAGTATAGACAAATACATAATTATAATAAAACAAACTGATTTTTTTTTTCTGCACATAAAATTTACTAATCTTAAAAGAGATTCAATTTAAGTCCTTGTTTATTATTTCATTTTTGACATGGTGTGTCAACTATCCTCCTTAACACTTTCGACTAAAAAGACTGAATTATTTTAATGTTAGAGGTTTTAGCAGAACCGCAGTTCTGTACCATAAATCCAAATTGATTTTAGTAAATTTTTTTTTTAGGATTAATTTATTAGTTAAAAATAATTTTTAACTTCTATCAAGTAACCAGTGTAAAAGACCATAAAATTCCATACGTTTTTGATTCATGTGAGTACTCTAAGTTAGTCTTTTGTCTAGATAAAAACCCAAGTATCTTATTTTATCTGATGCAGGAATTTCTATACTGTTGAAATATATTTTGGGAAAGGTGTGTGATAAAGAGTGAATACTATACACACACTCTTTTTTCCGTTCATTTTAATTTTTCATCTTGTAGCCCAATATTATTCAGATGATTTTGAAGAGTGGCGAATTTTTATCTCAGCTAAAGATTGCAATATTGTCAAGAAAAGTAGTCAGTAGAGTGTTACTGTGCTGCAGTAGTTCTGACATATATATATATATATATATATATATATATATATATATATATAATATATATATATATATATATATATATATATATATATATATATATATATATATATATATATATATATATATTAAATAGTATTGGGACAAGGACACCACCCTAAGATACTCTTACTTTAATAGACTTAATGTCAAAATGTTCTTTACCTAAATTTACTGTAAAATGTCTGTTAGTTAAATTTGTAGTCTGTTAGTTGAGAGGAATATTAGATAATAGGTTGGAGTTAGTATAAACCACTAAAATAGAATATAAATCCAGAAAATTGTTAACAAGTTAAGATAAGGCAGCAGCATATTTTAAAATATTTAATGTATAGAAATATTTCTCAAGAACTAGTTTTAGAGCAAGTAACTCAGTATTAAATCTCTTTAATAATTAATTTTAATAGAATCAATAGAAGAAAAGAAAAAAAAATCACCTGGTTGATCTTTCATTTTTGTAAAGTGAGGATAAATTGGGCATTTGGTTAGTTTTTACTGTATCAAGAACAATAACAACTCCTTTTTTAACTGGACTAAGAAATAAAACCAAAAATCCTCGAGAACCAGTTGGTGCTTTGTGATGGTACAAGTAAATATGTTTCAGGCTAGTTTCACCCTAAAATATATTGAAAAATAGGAAATTTTTTAATATCAATTTTGTCTATTAATAAAACATAATAATAAACATATATTACTGGTGGTAAATATGGTTGATGTGCAACTGTTCGAAAGGTTAAATGCTGCAACATAAATGTATTATTTTCTGTAAGGGCAGCAGCAAGCCTTCTAGACTCATTTTTATCAACGGAACAAACACATCCAAGTTTAAGGAGAGCTCTGAATAGAGATGGAACTTGGGTTTCATAGATTCCTTCAACATCAGGAGTAGAGAGATCAGCAATGAGATCACTTGAAACAAAAATATCATTCTCAGTTCAAAGATACATGAGAAATACAAGAAGGATTTTAAAAAAATAAGAAATGCAAGATTTTTTTTTTTTTATGTAATCATAAATAGTACTAATGTATTAACTTATCTTCATAAACAAATTTTATTTTCACATTGAATAAGTGAAGGACTGAAGCTCACTCACTTGCTATGCTCCTGATAAACTTCTTCTGGAACAGTATATTCGTAGAGGTTAAATGACAGACGTGATCGAGGAAGAATTCTATTGCACTTTTTATATAGAGAATCAGCTGACTCTTCTTTAACAGTGCGATGGTTAACATAAAATATTCGAGGTACTATTAACCGAATTTGATGCAATTCATTCCCAACTATTACCCATACTTTCATTATTCCTGGAGCATTGGTTTCAGTTATCTAATAATTTAAACAAAATATAAAAATAAGCTAACTATAGACATCACATACAGAAATATATTTCTAATGGTATAGAGAAGGTTGATCATTGATTCTAATTTCAGAAGAAGTTAGTCGGGGGTACGGCCTAAAATGATGACTAAATTACATTATAATATATTTATTACATTGTTCAACATTTCAACCTACAATGTAGGTCTTCTTCAGAGCTATATAAGATAAATATAGCTATATAATATAAATAACTATTTAGTTCTAGAAAGGTCCAGAATATTTAAATGACTATTGACATTCAGTACAATATGGAAAGATAATGGATTATTAGGATATCTGGGGTATATTAAGGGTAATAGATAATAGGTATATTAAGAATAAAAATAATAATAAAAGTCAAAACATACTATTCCGTCTGGCACTGCTGAAGGCAGTATGGCGACTAGCTATCTGATGTCGGTAGAAAGAGACCAGGGCGTTGTAAAAGTAGTCGTTTGTCTGTAGCCGAAAAAGTTTAAGTGGGCGACATAAGAAAAGGCTATTATTATACCTAAAGTAATTGAAGTGGTAGTAGCGTGCATTGGTTTAAGTAATTGGTTAAATTATTAAATACATCTAAAGAAGGTGGATATTAACAAGTATTTGTATATGGGCTAAGGTGAATGTATAAGGAGTTGTCTATATATTATAAATATAAATATATATAAAACTTAAGATAGTAATTATATTCGGATAATAGGTCATGAACTACATAAACTAAAACAGCTCCTGTTTATTCTTTATATTCAAAATGTTTTGATTCCTGCTTTTAAAAATAAATAATGGGATCCTCTTCAAATAATATCCATCATTAGTACAATAAACAAAAGTTTTTATACATTTTAACAAGATTTCATACATTTTAAAAAATATTGTAATGATATTCGGATAATAGGTCATGAACTACATAAACTAAAACAGCTCCTGTTTATTCTTTATATTCAAAATGTTTTGATTCCTGCTTTTTAAAATAAATAATGGGATCCTCTTCAAACAATATCCATCATTAGTACAATAAACAAAAGTTTTTATACATTTTAACAATAATAATAAATTCATCTTACTTGCTTTAAATTGAGCATTGAAAACAAAACAGTCAGTAAGGCCATCAGTCTACTGGGGCCGCAACGCGCACCCCGATCTTGGAGCTCGAGAATAATACCAATACCAAAAGCAACAGTGTACACAACAATCTCTGGTTGTAATTTAAACATTAAAATTACCCAGAATATTGAATTAAAACAAACACATGTATTTCATACTAATATCAAATGCTAAAACTTAAATCAGATAACAATAAAATAAAATATACACAGCCAGTAAATACATACAGTAATAAAACAATATTAATATGGTTCCTACTTCTGTAAATTGTCTTCTACTATCACTAAATTAAACAACCATCAATAAAGCACACATAAAACTAATTCAAAATAAGACGTCATCCCATAAATATACACGTATATATATACATACAAATTTATACTTCTATTTATTTATATATATATTTTTTTTTCGGTTAGCAAAATCTTTGACCGCGAGTGTATATATATATATACCCACACATAAACATACTGGCCAATCTATGTTGATTTCAATGTACTGTTATAGACATCATTTAACTTTGCTAAGTCATTATGTGTGCTTACTGTGACCTTTTGTCATTCCAAGATTGAGCAAGATAATTTCATTGCCTATTTTGGATACAAAATATATCGCTCTGGATATTACAGCAGTATCATGGTATGAAAGAAAAATAATGGCGGCCGAATTATAAATTTTAAATCATGCAACGATTTACGTATAAAACTAAATACGGCGAAGATAAAATAAAACAATCAGAGATTGTAGTGTACACTTGTTGTTGGTATTAGAATTAGTCTCGAGATCCAAGATCGCGGTGGGTGTTGCGGCCCCAATAGCCTGATTTCCTTGTGGTGGTACTGTACATCTTAGCCCACATTTACCAATACTTGTTAATACCCAACTTCTTTAGATGTATTTAATAATTTAACCAATTACTTAGACCAATTCACACAACTACCACTTCAATAACTTTCCTTTAATTGTGGCTTGATGTTACAGGATTGAAATTTAATTTTACAAAAAAAGTTATCCTCCTGTATATTCTATTTATTTTTCACTTTAAAGCAATCGGTTTCGGTCTTTTATCAGATCTTCATCAGGCCAACTGATGGTGCAATTTACCTATCTCACTCACTTACAGTCTTTCAGCAACAGACAAACAACTACTTTTACAACCTCCTGGTCCTTTTCTACCCGTCAGTTTTCTGTTACCTGACCGACACCAGACAGCTAGTCGCCATACTGCCTTCAGTAGTGCCAGACGGAATAGTATGTTTTGAAATTTATTGTTATTTTTATTCTTAATGTCCCTACCAGCTATTTCCCTTAATATACTCCGGATATCCTAATAATCCATTACCTTTCCAAATTGAACTGAATGTCAATAGTCATCAACATATCTTGTAACTTTCTATAATTAATAGAGAAAAACAGTTTATTTTAATATAAAATTAAATAACTAATATATATTATTTGTATCATATATAATCCTGAAGAAGACCTACAATGTAGGTCAAAACATTGCACAATATAATAAATATACTATTATATAACAGTATTTTTTGACCGCACCCCCACTAATTTCTTCTGACACAAATATATTTCAAATTTTAGAATACACACCTGCAAGATTTGCCATGGAGTATTCAAAAGAGATTTCTGTGCTTTTTTTAAGAATCCCCCAAGAGAACTTGTTAAGGATGGCTTAGTGCTTCTTTCAACTGCACTAGACATTCTTATTTTCTTAGGCCCCTCTTCCCTTTTTTTTGACTCTAGCTGCCAGTTCCATTTTTTCTTATGAAAACGTAACCAAGTCAAATGTTCTTCCTGTATTTATAAAAAAAGAAAGTATTTTAAACTATTTTATATAAAATTTTATAAATTGAATAATTTACCAAAGTAATTAATTAATATTAACTATTAGTATTACAATTCAATTTAATATTAAAAAAAACAATTACATGTTTTTTATTTCATATTTTTTCATGATCAATGATAAAATGGTTGTATGTATAGATAAAAGTAAATAAATATTTCAATCTATACTATTTTGGTTCACTAGTAAAACACCAAAACCACAAAAATATTAAAATGAACTTTATAATGAATGATTTTATTACATGCGAATGAACCCATGAGACAGAAGTAAAAAAAAAAAAAAAAAAAGGTAATAACTCTAACTTTCCCAGATGTCTTGATAAAGTCATGTCGTGACAGTTAGCACTGAAAAAATATATATTTATATACTGATTTATCATGGATCAGATGATATTGATACTAATGTAGTCTTTAATTTTCTGTCTACATTATGCCAAACTGGATGAACCATTTTTTAAGTATGGGTGTCAAGAAAAATATGTTTACTTATGCCAAAGCAGAAGTATAAGATGAAACAGATGCTGGATCATCCTTAGTGGTCAATTATCTTTTCTAATATTTAATACTATATATGAAGTTTAAAAGGTATGATGTGAAAGATGATGATTTAAGCACAGTACTAAAAGCATAGAATGATGCATTGAGAAGGTATAAGAAATATTACTTAAAATTTTAAATTTGCATTATTTTTATTGCTTGTAATATTACTTTGGTAACACCAAAAGAGGGTGGAGAGCCTAGTGCCTCTCTCCATGTCTTATGAACAACTTTCTGTGGTGACTCCTCTCGTTTTCTTTTGTTTACGATGGGTAAATTATTATTTTTCGACTTAGAATTATCTAAATCTTCTATGTCAGGTACATCTGTTTTTTCTTCATCAAAAGTTTCCTAAAAGAAAGTATAAACAATTAAAATAATAAGCCATCATGTTCATATTGTAAAAATACATAAACATTAGTTACATCATGATTGATTTCCTTTCGCGGAAGAACAGAAAAGAGTTCGTTAATTTTTCTTTGTTTCAGAACATCTGTTTTTTCAAGCATTTTCTTATGTAACCACTCAGGATGGCGAACACGGGGAACTGGATTGGATAGCTGTAAATGAACAAAAAAATTATTAATAAAGCAGGATCCAAGTTATATCAAATATAAAACATATAATGCAAGTTTTAAAAATACCCCTTGCATAGCTGCAGGTATAGTAATAATTTTCTGAATGGCGCCTCCCAATCTTTCAATATAATAATTCCAATCTAATACAAGTCTAATATCAATATCTGTTAGCGAAGAATCTTTTAACCATTTGCGCAAATAATGTTTCTTGACAGAATCTTCAGCTTGAAAAATTGCCAAGGGGATGGCTCTAAAAATTAAAAATTAATTATTTAAATATTAATAACACTTATTAAACTTAATAATATAAATAAGATGACAGAATTAACCGTCCATTTAATTTATAAATAAATTAAATTGTCCGAGTCAAACGGCAGCAGATCCGAAACTATTTAAATTTGAATTCTTCCTGTGGTAAAAAGTCACAGGAAACAATAAATTACTTGTTCATAGCACAAAAGTAACAATAAGCAACAACTTATGAATGACACAGATACCTTAACTAAATAGTCTAAGCCATACAACAGCAGTTCAGAAAATTTAGAAATTTGACTCCTCGCTGTTGTAAAGTGTTGCACAAGAAAAGGAAATATCATAATTTTTTCTCAGAAAAAACAACCAAATAAAAAAAAACAACATAAAAATTATTTAATAGACAGAATTACAGAAACCATTTGAACCAAAATGCTGTGACCTTATGTCACACCTCCTAATTTTCTCATACTCAGTTCTTTTTTACAATATTACTTCGGAAGATCACAATGACATACCTTTTCCTTCAACATTTTCAGTGAATTTATAAAGCCGAATGAAAGGCAGAGAGAATTGATACACAAGTAAACAAAGGATCAGCTAAAATAAGCAACAACATATAAGGAATAAAATTGAGACTTTAGTTAGAGTTGAAATCAAATGATTTTATAACCTAGTATAGCTGACAAAAATAAACCTCATTATGCAAAATAAGAGCATGGTGACAACTGATTCGAAAAAGCCTTCACCTTTCAGAGGGCTGTGAACACTTAAAAATTTCTCAAATGAAAATAATGATTATTACAATTTACCTTTCAGTAACTGGTGATCCTTCGGGCTTGCGAGAAATGATATATTTACAAGCTAAACCAGCATCTTTTACCATTTGGTCACCAAGGAACTCAGCTAATCTTTTGGCAGTACTTATTGATGTTGACTTTTGTACTCCATAATCTTCTAACTTACGACTCATAGATCTGTTCTCTGAAATAAGCTCAAAAAGCTCAGAATCTGGCATGTTACAAGCCTGAAAGATTTCGACAAATTAAATTTTATAATTACCCATTATATACCAATATGCATATTTTATATGATAAAATATAATTAAAGTAAAAATGAATATAATGACTTATTTAAATTATTTTTTACATTTAGGAGCTAAATTTAGTACTTTATTTTTTGTTTTTTCTTCAAAACCCCAATTTAAATACATATTTTGTAATTTTACCAGACTTTATATTATCAGGAAATATTGTCTTATATATAATTTAAGCCAGTCTTGTATTCATGAGTTAAAACAAGGTACAGTGTTGTGTTGGATGGTGCCTGTGGACACCATAGTTTTGTAATGCAGCTGCAGATTACCTATCTGGAATTCTCTTGGTATAGTTTTCTTTCTGGTGATAAAGTTTTGAACTGAAGATTCCTTCAATATTTCAACAAGTCCAAGAATTTGATATTTCTACTGCTGATGAATTCTAGGAGTGTTGGAATGTAATGTAGATGATGGAGGTTTTTTTTTTTTTTTTTTTTTTTTTTTGTTCTTCCCTACCTCGCTTTTTAGGCTATACGGGATTTTCCCGGGCCGGGGGGTGAGGGCGGGGAAATTTAAAATCCCCTCCGGCACTGGGACGCGAACTCGTACTTTTTATATCATCTCAAATCTCTGTTATCCGGTTGCCAGTCAACTAGCGGTGCTGTTACACACGCTTTAGCCTATTCGGCCACCCCGCCCCTCACAGGTGATGGAGGTATAAACTCTTAGTGTATAGGTAGAGAACCTTTTTATCATTAACGCTGAAAGGTTAGGCATTGCTAATAGAGGCCGCTACAATTCCTTATATTTTATAATTGCTATTTTATTTATCACTAAATACACACTCCCATACATATATATTCAACTTAATTTTATTGTTTTTTAAATTTTCATAACTAAATTAATTAAATATTAATTAATTTATGCAGCAGATCAATAAATATCCCGCAATAACGTTTGATGGTCGCAAAGTAGCTACACGGAGGTCACAGTTTCTCCACATATGCTCTCTCTCTCTCACTCTCTCTCTCTATACATATATATATATATATATATATATGTTTTGTTATAAATTACACCACAAATTATTGGGGTTTTGTTTAGAATTTTAATTTTTGAATATATATATAAAGTATAGTCAATATAGAATGAAAAGCAGTAAAAAGAAATAATTTTGATCTAATAATTCACAATTTTAAGGTAAATGTAACAGCAAGGCACTTGAAGAGAAATTTTCTACATTACTCTGAACCACAACTTTAGTTTTCACGCTGGTTTTGCAAATGGGTTTGATTGACAGAAAATTTAGTCTTTTACCAATTTCGCCTTTTCTTTACAGTCAATGAGTTGACACTCTTGGGTGTTAAAAATTTTGAAAATGGAAAGTGATAGATTACCTAAAATTTGTTTTAAAAACACTGCTCTACATTGATATTGTATCTAACTTAAAAACAGCCTCATTCCATGTTTTTCGGTGTGAGAAATTCGAATTTCCATTATAAATATCATCAGTTAGCTCTAATTTCAAAGATCTAGTTACTTTTTGAGTAATATGGGAAAATTTTCTGCTCCTGGGTTGGAATGATTGATTTCTGTCTGAATCGCAGGAAACTACTAGCTGTGAATCACAGAACCATTTTGCTTACAGTTGTATGCAGTGTTGACATTTCAAGTTCAAGGAAACTTTGCAAAACATGGAACCCTTCTAAAATCCATTAAATACCAAGGGCAAATCTGTGGGAATCAGAAAGTGGTGGCAATTCTTCTAGACATGCAACAAGAATACTCTAAGTACTGTTGTTTCTTATGTACTGGGGTCTTTCTTTTCTACAAACAGTCATTTTCACCATCTTCCACAGTATCTTGGAAGAATGGAAGAATTGGGGCTGTGAAGAATGGTTTGATGTAGAAGGGCTTAATATACTTTTATTGACCTGCAATTTGAGTTTCAGGGTGGCATTGTTGAAAGCAGGTGATGCAGACAGTATGATTTTTCTTCTTACATCTATCTTATAACAACATTTTACCATTGTAGAAATGGTGGGAATGTATGGCTTCATTGCAAACTTTTAAGTTTTGTTGAGATTATGAATTTAAGTATTTTAGAGAAAAGAAAAGTCCTTATTCCCATTTCTTATATTGTTCATCAAATAATATATATTTAAGTGAATTAAAAACTTAACTTATAACAAAAGAAAAAAAAAGATACCTTGCTGTATAAGACATCAAGCCAATAATTAGCAACTTTTGCAACTGATTCATAACATTTTTCTAAATTTTCTCCTTTTAGGAAAGACTCAAAAACTGATGACTGAAAAATTTTAATTAATTGTAATTCACCTCTTCTTTTCACTTCAAACCTACAAAATATAAAATCAAAATTAATAAAGAAATGAAATTAAAGATATTAAAAATATAATATAATATCCTTCAAATTTCCAAGTACCCTTTCAATTCAGCTAATGAACCATCAAAATTGAACACTGCATAACGTTTTTTCAACCGTTTACCTTCTTCTTTCGAAGCTGGCAAAACCATGGCTTTGTATGGTCCGTCTACTTCAAAGAAAATCGAATTTTCGCTTCTTATTTCATAAACGATATTTTCTTTATCCACAAGCTCATGATACACATGGTTTGTAAAATGTTCCTACACATGAAAAAACAATTTTTATATAAATCAATAAATAAAACAAAAAAAAAAAAACAATATTTTTATTTCTAATTAAAAATAATTTTATAATCATTTCCTGGTTGTCTACCTAAACCTTTTTATATTGACATGACATTCATTGCCATACATTTCATTAAATGTGAATGAAATGTTAAGAACCCAGTTAGTTTTGCATAATTGGACCGAAAGGAAACGGAAATAGAATTTATTAGCACGGAAACTTGCTAGATATGTCATAAATGTTGGTGAATTTTCATTATAATATCGGCATTGTAAATTAAATTATTATGAAATAATCAATTAACAATGTTTTTGGCAGGTTATAGATAGCTTGAAAATAAGCCAATTGGTCTGAAACGACATAAAGAAATGGAAAAATTGGAAGCACAATTCATTCTTTGAAAACACTTAATATAATTACATTGAAGTACCCTTGAAAAATATAATGCTGGAAAAGTAACCAAATATACAAACAATATTTTTATTTCTAGATAAAAATATTTCATAATCATTTTCAGGGTATCAAATGAAATCTTTTTATGACATTTTCTGACTTTTAATAAATAAAATAAAATGATCAATTCACAGAACAGCAACTTATAATAAAAATTCTGAATACTCCAATTATTGCTTATTTTTTGTAGTCTTATATACTATACGATTTTGATGAAACTTTCCTATAATGTTCTAATCATTGTCCTTTCAATTTTCGTATATAGACTAAATTCTCAAAAAAATTCAGGAAAAAATGTTATAAAGAAAAGAAAAATTTTATGGGGCCCAATCCCCCTATACTAGGTAAGGAAAGTATTGCAATCGGGTCAAATTTCCGATATGCGGTTTTCGACGGATCTATACGTTTCAGAGCCCCTTGACAATTTTTTGTTTGTCACAATCTTCACTATTTCCTCTGCTTTTACCAGAAATTATTGTTTGACAATACTAAGCTATGGCAAAAAGTTTTTGATCAGCAATATTAGTGAGTATTGCAATTTTTACACTGCTCTACCTTAAGCTGGTTTACATTGCTTTAGTTTATCAAATAAATCTTACTCAAATCTTTTGTTTGATCAGTTTTCAGGAAAATAGATCTAGTTCTATTTTTTTTTGTTTCTTCATGAACATATGTAAAGATATAAAAACTTTTTTGAAATAGGTAGGAAAGTCGTGTGAGTGGACACACCAGATATTTTATCCTTACAATCAACTATATATCCATGTATAAGCATCTTAAATATTTCATATTTTTAAAAATATATTCTCTGGTATACCAAAACTTCATGGCTTGTCAAGTGGTTCTACACCAGACAAGAATCCATGTAGTGATAGATAATTCTTGATATTAACAAAATGGCATTGCTAACTCAATTTATGAAAAGAGTTTTTATCCCCTGAACTATTCAAATGTGTACTTCTTTTTTTAAATAATAAAATATATTTAATATGATGGTTTAAAAAAAACAAACTTAAATGCTACAGTTGGAGATCTATGTTTCTTTAATAAGCTTTACTTGTATCATTAATAAAAGTTTATAGTAAAAAAAATTACCTTAACCATTGAGTTAAGAACAGCATTAGGGAAAGAAATTGTAACCTTGGCCTTTCCTGGTTTATTTGTATTAATGACATAATTTTCAGGAAATGAGGCAGGCAACAAACACCAGATACCATCTGTGTCTAATTCTAATGGTCTTCCAACCTGATCAATAATTTCCCTAGCTTTAGTTATAATATGCGCTCCAGTATAACAAACAATTCCTGCCATTTCCATACTATACCATCTGGCTCTATAACAAAATTAATAAAAATAACAATTTTTATTTATTTATAACAATTGTCTTCTTATTTAAATGATGAACTGCTCTAAATGAGTAAGACAACAGCCATTTGAAAATAGGCTAATGAGATTACTTGATGTAGTAAATGATGTCAGTATGCAAATAAAATTTTACAGATTTAGAATTTTAATTAGTATTATGGAGGTTAAAATTCTCAACTTTTATCAACAGATAATGCTTCAAGTCATCGGTTACTTTATTTACTTCATTACTGACTTTTATCTGTATGTCATTTTGCTACTAATCGGATTCTTAATGTCGGTCTAACAATCATAAGCTGACCGATCTACCTGAAGTTACAATAATGTTGAAAAAATATAATGAAAAAGAAAATGGATCAACATTATTATTATGGATCAAAATTATTATTATGGCTCAACACAAATCAGAGCAATGGGAAACATCAGGGAAAATAAACAAGCAGCAGAAAAGAGGAAAGCAGAGAAAGATGACTAGTACAAAGTGAGCGATTTAAGTTTTATAGGAAAAGAATAGAACTTAATAGCATAGGAGTTAAGACCCTATCCCAAGTACTTTAATCAGTAATCACAATATGATTTTTCAGGATGTCAAGAGCTTGCCCTAAATTTTGGTCCATGGCTGTACAGTTACAGAGAAAGAAATATTGGCCCTTTTGTGCCTTCTCACCATAATCCATGGATCTAAATTAATTTACAACTGTCTATCAGTCACTGGAACCCAAGTGAGCCGGCAGGAAAGAAACTGCTAAATTGACCTGAAATGTTATGGAGCTATGGGTGGCCTGCCACTGCACTATGGAGACCATGTAGTAATGTAAGGTTGAGTGACTCCCTTCAGGCTATCTGTGCTGTTGAAAGTAAAATATGTCTATAAGAAGACCACATCAGGCCCATGATCTATTTCCTTTACAGCACCAATTGAAGAAAAAAATATATACATGTATTTTGCTTTGTCTACAAGTTTTGTTAAGAGCAGCTCTGTTCCTTTCTTTTGACATCTATAATTTGGTGATAGGACAGCAAATAGTAGAGAGCAAATAGAGGTAAGGTGAAGGATACAAGGAAACTCCAATAGAATAGAACTTCTTTATTAAATTCACTAATGAAAAATGCAACTGAAAATTGGTAGGACATTAATTTATGAAGATATAAACTCATTGGAAGTATAAGAAGTCTAGAGTGGCACAAGGAGCTCAACAACATACTTAATACTTTCCAATGGAAATATTCAACTAATAGAAGTTCTAAAGTGGAAAATAGTTAATGTCAAAGTTCTCACCCATTTCCATATGATTGGGGTAATTCATATCAGACTATTGCAGTTACTTTATAGTTTTAGTTTAAAATGGCTTTTGTATTTTTTTTTTTATTTTTTGCACTCAGCAATGTGAAAATAATGCTCGAGTAAATGAAAATTTTTTGAAAGATTCAAAATTTGATAACATAAGAGAGGAGAGTATACAAATCAATATAATTTTTATAAATAATTTTTCATTTGACATTATTCATAATTAAATAAGTTTTTTTTTCAACATACCCTCTTCGCATGACATATCCATAAAAAGAGTTCAAAATACATTTATGGGCTAACTGTAAGGAATCGTACAATATTTCCCTATTCTTGGCAGATTTTATTTCTGCAGCATCACCTTTGGCAACTGCATCACTTACTTGTTTCTTAGCAACCTATAAACAAAAAAAAAAAGATACTATTATTAATGCTCTCAGTATGTATGCAGAGAAGTTAGTTTACAGAAGAAAAATTAACACTATGAATTAACAATAATTTTAAGATGTACTTCAAAATGATACCTTTGACAGACCCTTATATTCATATCTTCTATCTCGAAAAGCCCTCACTGTGTCAACATAAAAAGAATTCTCTTTCTGACAAATCGTGGTAACACGTTCTTCTAATCTTGTAACTTTAGTTTTCTTGTAAGCCTTTCTGCAATAATCAGTTAAACGTTTCTTCTCAACAGCAGCTTGTTCTTCTTTTGACAACTGGTGAAAAGCTCTAGGTGGACCACCCGGGAACTCAGGTGGAAATTTTTCTGTTTCCAATTGTTGCTGAATTCTATGAAATTCATTACGAGTCGCTGGCACTATAAAATGATTATCATGACTATCAAGACTTATTTCATAAAATAATTTATGTATTTTGAATTTGTGTTTACAAATAGTATTAAGTCTTATTTTCAGCCAGTTTGAAAATTAATAATGATCCACTTAAATTAATAAAAGCGCATTCACATTTAATCAAGTGACAGCAGTAAAAATGAAACATATTATTGAACAGCTATTTGATCTCAGCAAAAAACAGGAGTCTCAATCTTTCCTTGCTGTTTGCCGAAGATAGGGTTATCATGTGGGTGGGACAGTCATCGCTGATACTAAGCCAAAGGGATTTGAGAGAATTTGAAATTCTTTGCCTCAAATTATAATAAGATGAAATATTGGTATTCGATCAATTTAAAAATTATTTTTCATCCTTACCATTTAATGTAAGGTACAAAAGTAATATTTAAAGATGTCTTTGTTATTTATATTGAATTTGCATGAGTATTTTAATTTGTATTTATAAGTAAATTATATTTTATTAGCTTTTATTTCAATTGCAATAGTTTCTTAAATTTATTTTTAAATCTTTAATATTAACTAGGATAGTACCCCTTGCCCTTGTCCACCTTATGACAGAGCAGCCTGCGCTATACAAATTACACAATTGTTCATTTATTGCACTACTCATTCCTTCAAATTATATAACTTTAATTTATATGTATTCATGTATTCTGTAGTTCAGATTCTATTATTTTTTATCAACATAAAATAAACTAAATGAAACCACAGTTTGGACAAATATTTAATTTCTTTAAAAATCTATATACATCAAGCCTTATTGCCAATTTCTAATAATAATATATATTCAACTTGCCCAGTTTCATAAAAGAAGGAAATATATAAGAGATATGAATCCAAATCAAATATCTTAGATATCTGAAAACATTGGATATGATACCATACATACATTTGATTATCGAACAAGAAAATTAATTAAATGCTATTTCAGTGAATTAAAGAATATATAGAGTCCACCCATGTTAAGTAAATGGCTGAGCCTGAACAAAGGATACAAACTAATGAATATTAAAAATAACTTACAGAAATATACTTTGACTAGTTACTAAAGGCCAAGCTGAGGATGAGTGGGGAAAAATAACAAAGAGGAAGAGTGGAGGAATGAGAACAGTCTTTAATTACTGGTCATGTTATACACTTATGTCAAATATGCATATATAAAAACCTACTAAATTCGCCTCTCCACATCCATGGCATTTTACGCTGACAAAGAGCATCAGCCTTGTTAAAATCACATGCAGCACAAACAGTTTCATCAACCATTGCAGATGGTTGTAATCTATTTGTAAGAATAATATTTGGATACATAGCACCTAAAACATGTTTAAAATAAAGTTAAACCAGATAAAAATAACATAATAGGATAGTTTTTCAAAAGAAAAATTGTTTAAAATGCAACTATGCAAGAGAAACTACTATGTTTATATTACTTTAATATTATCACTAAAGTATTTCATAAACTTACCAACATCTAAATGATAAATCATGGGATTTTCCATTCTGCAGGGCGTTTCCCGTAATTCTTCTAATTTTGTTTTTATGTCATTCACAACTTCATCAAAGTTAGTAACCATATCAAGGGGAATCTTTTCTTCTTCTTCAATCGCATGTATCAAAGCTTTTTTCGTATTATCCATTAACATGGTAAATGCTTCTGGTACCTGTAATGATTAAATTAAATTTTAAAAGATATAAATTGGACCTTGAATAAATTCTAATTGTTTCTTTGTGAAAATTAATGTAAGTCAGCATTAGAGAAATTCCTTAATTCACCCATCCCACTCTCCTTACCGCCTAAAGCAGTTAATCCTTCTGAGCTCAAACACCACTTAACAAAAACTACCTACCCGTAAATCACCTGGATACGACCTCCTTACCTTTCAGATCCTTCGACAACTCCCTCCTAAAGCTGTCATATCTCTTTAAAGGCTGTCCAAGAATCTACCCACTTTTTGATATATTCATAAGAATGGAAGTGCTCCCCAGCCAAGCCAAGCGCCATCAAACAAAATAAGTAGTGATCAGAAGGAATTATACAGCGGGTGGGTCAGGATTCCCATTTAAGCATTTCCAAATAGGTTTTTCAACATATGGCTGATTATTGTCATGTAATAAAATCATCTTGTCGTATATCTGCTCATATAGCGGCCATTTTCTTTTTCAAGAGTTGGCTCAAATGCATCAATTACGATCAATTGCGATCTCCCATGACAGTTTCATTCGGTTTGAGCAGCTCAGCATAAATTATACTGTGCTGATCATATAATGCAGAGAATCTTCGAACCATGGATATTTGGCTTTGTGGATGATGTTGACGCATGGCACACTTACCTGACAATTTTTTTAGCTGAGGATTATCTTAGTGTATTCATTTTACATTATTAATCACAATATGATGCAAAAAACTTCAACTCATATGGAACCAATGTCCTTGCTTCTGGATCATTTCTAATGTTTCCATCAAATTTTGAAATCATTGTCATTTACTATTAACAATTTTCCAAGTTCAGCTAGAGTCATGGGCCTTCATTAATCAATTTCTCCAATTCTTTATCTCCAAAGTTTTTCAGTGTACCAGAGCATTTTTATCTCCAAAATTAAAATAATTATTTTTTAAGGACTGAAACCAGTCTCTACATATTGTTTCCAACAGAGTATGCTCACTTCATTTTTCAACAAGAGCTCTGTGAGCTGTAGCTGCAGATTTATCCTGAATAAAATGCTGTATAAATACTCTTCACATGGCACAAAACTCGACATTTTAAGAACTAAAAAAAAAGTTTACACTGTGGCAAACTAACATATACTGAAGTCTAAGCTTATTGACAGTAGTATTGGTGCTGTCATTTGTTAAAAAAACAGCGAAAACTTATTCAAGATTCTAATATTTATTATATATGCTGTTCTTAATTTTCCCCCTTGTTAACCACCACAATATTAGTTCAACAGGAAGAAATTTTCAGGTAGGATTGGAAAAATTTAGTCTATTACGCATAATAAGATTTTAAGTAAACACAAAATAAGTTCATAGTAACTGAATTTGAACCCAAGAAAATGAAATTACCAACAGTACGAAAGAAACGTTGAGGTCATTTTCTGTCATATGAAGACTACTAACAAGATAACCAATATAATATTTTATTTTGATATTATCAAGCAGGAATGAAATGAGTTTGGTTTCCGAGGTGGAGGTAATATTTACTGGAATAGAAGAAGGTTAAGCATTAAGCATCTCTTCCTCATTTTAAAACATTCCACTTTTATCCTATAATATTTATGTTATGTAATGTTTATTAATCTTTAAGATAAAGCAAGATTCTAATCAAAATAATTTCTAAATAATGAAATTCAAGCAAAAATCATTTATATTTAAAACCAATAAATCCATAAAAAACCTTACCATTCGAAATCTACAAGGTATATCTGCCCTAAACACTCCTGATTCTAATGCTTCAACATGTCCACCAACATAAGTTTCTTGGTCTAATACATGACCATCATCTGTCATTTTATTTAACTGAGTTTCTTGTTTATTAGGAAAAACTATATTAGCATGGTAAGCTTCAACCATTAATAACGATTCACAAAGAGTTCCTGAACCTTTCCTCAATACCTACAACATGATATAAAAATAAATATACATAAATAGTTTAAGTGTAGCCTAAATGAACATTTATAATGAATTATAAGTCAATTAATTACTTCATCAGGTTCCATAGGAATAATGGTACAGAGAGCGAAAATGAATGGATAAACATATTTCATGTATAAATAATAAGTTGCAACTGCATCAGAAACTGAATAGTTGCTCAAAACTTGTGGTTGTTCAACTGCAAGCCGACACATTTCTTCAGGATCCAATTCAACTGGATCATATCTCAACTTGGCTTTAGCAACTGCTTTTAGACCTTGGGATCCCACAGGTAGGTAAGAATCTCGCTTCACCCAACTATTCAAGTAAAATCTTATTTGAACAAATTGACCAAAAAGGAATGAAAAACAATTTATATTAAATTGATATTTTATGAGGATGAAAATAATTTAATATTAAATTTACCAAAGGCAATCCATATGCATTGAAGGCCTACAAGAATATACACCATCTTTCCCTTTAGAATAGCCAATCTCCAACTTCATATCTACATTATGTACTTTAGCTCTTGCTTCAACAAATGGCCAATCGAAAAAATCTCCATTGTAAGTGACAAAAACATGTGGGCGGACCTGAAAGAAAAAAGAGCTTAAGCTACAATTTGAAATATTTTATTTTTCAATAAAATAACTAATTAAGAATAAAAATTAATATTGTATCCATTTCTGGATAGTTGAGGTTAAGTAAACAATATCACAAAAATATTGAATTTGATGGCGAGAGATTTATCAAGTTTGTGTCCCTCCTGCTATCACAATATGGATAAAAAAAACTGGACAATATCACAGATGAGATACCTAAAAAGATTGGTGAGGAAGATTGCACATGCAATTTGAACATCCAAAAAGTCCTCGGAATGAGACCTATCAACAAAATCCTGAAGCAAGGCCAACTCAAAAGAGATTTGGCCACATTTTTAGAATAGGTGATGAGCATAAAGTAAGACCAATCTAACGTCTATAGAGGCTTGGTGGAGCTTTTCTATGCCAGAAATAAATATAAATCTATGTCAGATAAAAATTCAGATGATTCAAGGTTACACCTTACAGAACAAATGAAAGGAATGAGTAAGAACTTATACCACATTAAATTAGGAAAAGTATGATAATCTGTAAGAGTAATAAGTACGATAAAAAACAGTTTATCATTTATGCATTTCAGGATCCCACAAAACTTGGTCTTTTGGATTATTGTGAAAGTGATATTCGAAAAATGTTATTAAAATATATCTCCTATTTCTAGGAGTCTTTAGTTTTATTAAACAACTTGTTTAAGTTTTATCTTTCATGTTTGAGTGGCATGTTTTGGTCATAAGATTTTGAGAATAACATCACGCATTACAGGATCTAAAGGGAATTTTAGTTCTGCTAGTTTTAATATGTAAATGGACAGGAAACATTAAGGTGATTTTCAGTGGTCTCTTCACCACAGAGTTAATATTTACAAAAAACAGAAAATTTTCATTTATTGTTTAATGTTTACAGTAGTATTATAACTTCTTTTCCTAAACTTGCAAGTGAAATTATTTCTCAGCATATTCAAGAAGGGGGAAAAAAATCTTTAAATTACTGATATTGTTTAATTTTTTCATTGGATTACTCCCTACGTCACCATTTCAAGCATAAGGGAGAGGGAGGAGGGCTGTTCTAGAGCAGGGCGCATTGAGACATCCACTAAGTAGTGCAGGTTATGGCTTCAGATTAAAAGTAAAAAAAAATTGTTCTTTAAATGGCACTTAGTTTTGAAATTAGGTTTTTAAAAGAAACAACTCATGCAATAAATGTTGTAGTAACCTCGTTTTGAGTGATTTACTAAATTTTATATTTTTTAAAATTGTACATTGTACCATGTAATCAAAGAAACTTTCATGGGCCGGATTGGAGGTGCTTACGGTTGTAGTTTGGAGACTACAGGCCTGTTATAGAGGTACAACAAAACCTATTTTAACCAGAATGGGAAGGTCAAGATTCATTCAGTGGGTCTATTAGGAAATAAATTTTGAACCGCTTAAGCTGGATTCAACTTAAGCTAGAATGGGCAAAGCTCTAACATGCTCGGCCATCACGATCTCCTCAAATTAGTTACAATCATGCTTATGATAATATTTTTTAACTGTTATAACAGTTAACTGTTATAATTAAAAGTAAAAATTTTAATTAATATTTAATAGTAAAAGTATAACAAATATTTTTATGACATTTATTTATGTATTAACACGTTAGCTGCGGCTACAGCTCCATGATTCCGATATTCGGCTCGATTTCGGCCGGAATTGTTTCGAATTTTGCTTATCTTACTAAGTTCCATTAACGATAATTTTTTAAAATATTTGAATGGGAGTTGGATAGATGTTAACATAAATAATCATCATATATGATATAAAGCCATTGGATGCCGGGGACTGTAACTAACGTGTTAACATTTTTTTTTTAAGCTTGAACTTTTATTTAACAGTTTTGAAAAAATATTTATTTTTATTGAAAAAAGTTGTTTTAAACAGTTAAAGTTGAACTAATTTGTAGAAACAAAATAACTGTTTCAACCCTTGATTTTTTAAATTTACAGAAAATATATATATTTTTTATATATACAATTTTGAACATTTTATATATACTAGGAAGGTATACCCTGTCTGTCTAACTGTGAACTAACACACATTTTACAAACTATACAACGGTTCATTTAATTGTAATACTTGTTGCTCAAATTATAAAAATGTAACCTACATGTATTCTGTTGTTCAGATTGTATTAAACATTTATTTATATAATAGATATACACACATATATATAACATCAACTAAATTTCTATAGTACATTTAAAACTAGAAATTTTAACTTTTTAATTAAAACTTTTCGATAATGCTTGATTTGTAGATCTTTTTAATCAAAATTCATTTGTATTTTTGAAATTCTTAAAACTTAAAAAAAAAATAAAATAGATTAAAAAAAAAACAAATTAAAATGAATCATTGTATTTAAGAAGTAGTAGAGAGAACATATATTCATGAATTATAAACTTTTAAAAACAAATACTAAAAATTAAATAAACCAAACAAAGAATCATGAATACTTACTTCCATGATATGTTCGAAGAATCTTTGTATAAGAGCTGCTTCATTAACTTCATTAAAAATTGTAAAAAAACCTTCAAATTCAGGTTTAGGTGTGAACTCAAAATCTTCGACATCAATAGATATTATTTCACGATTAGTAATCAAAAAGCCCTGTGAACAAAATATGCAGTATTTTTATGACCATTATATTGAAATATTTGTAGACTGCAAATACTATGAAATAAGTATTTATCAACTTTATTGATTTAACTGCAATAAGGAGTAGACAGAAATATCAATTAGGTATTGTAGGAAGGAAAGTTGCAAATTCAAATACAATAATTGAAATATAGTAAAAATCTGATTGGTATCTCTGGAAACGATGCTGGGTCCTCTATGAATGGCAACATTTGCTTGAATGAAATCTTCAAACATTAAAATAAAGAGCATATATCCGATTTTCTTATGAGTTTTACTGTTCACAGAACTACTAGTTAACAGTAAAAATATCATCCAGAATATCACTTAACCATGGCAGAAACTGACTTACAAGGACGAAAACTCACTTTCATCATACTGACCAATCAGCTTACTTATTATCTGTACCTAAATTTTTGAAAGGTTACTGTACAAAAGATTTATTAACATACTAACAAACACACAAACAATACCAGACCATCAAATTGGATTTAGGATACATCACTCAACTATCTATCAAATACATAGAGTGATAGAATACATATCTAGGGCACTAGACCAGAAATTATATGCAATATATTTAAAATTATATGGAATTTTTCTGGATATTGCTCAGTGTTTGATAGAGTTTGCCACCAGGGTCTTCTCTTTGAACTCAAGACAATATTTCCACCTACCTACTACCTAATGCTACAATCATTCCTTTCAAAACATTTTTCTCCATCCGACATAAAATATGAGTAATGAGTTGACATAAAAAAAAGTATTAATGAGATCCATTTTTCATTTGTCCTACTGTTGGGTACACAGTAGTCATTTAAAGGAGCATCCGGACAAAGTAAAAATTTCCATTATGTTCCTGTACGAGAAGATACCAAGCAGCTGAGCAAGAGTGAAATAGACCTCGTTTTTTATTATAATAGTAAAGCATCTTGTTAGAAAGAACACCAGGAGGGCAATACTCAATGACTTTCTTCCAATATAAATATAAAACAATAATAATATAGAAAATACATAAAATTATCTGAAAATATAGTGAAAAGCAAGCAAGAAAAAAAAATTATATTGGAATAATCAGATTAAAACAACATGCATAACAATGAAAATAATGAAACATTACAATATTTCAATGAATACCAGATTATTTTCAAGCAACATTCAAGGTAAATAATTAGAGGTTCAACTATATAGGCATAGAGTATGAGTTAAAATTTAAGAGTGGACTTACCTGTCCATCAATCATGTAGGATATCATCATAATCTGATCAATAGATGCGTCTGGAAATTTCAATGGCAATTTGGTTGTCTCAATATCAAAAGCTAACACAATCAAATCTGGTCTTTCAATGATATCCTCTCTTCTAGTTATAATAGGAGCAACATTTGTACCACGAGATTTAATATGATACCATGAACCAACAAAAATTTTCTTATCTATTGATACCCTCACATGATAGGGAACATCATATTCTCTAAATTAAAAACAACTAAAATGTATATACCATAAGAAGAAATTTAAAAAGAGGAAATTGCATATTATTTTATACATAAAATCACCTGATATCGATGATATTTTCAAAGTGGTCAGATTGCTTCTTTGTTAAGCCAACATCACCTTTGTTGATTATTGCATTTTCCAACATTTCAGAATAATATGTGTTTTTTGCTTCATTTGCTTTATTTTTCTTAACACTGGAATTTATAATTTGTCGTACTTTCATTAGGTCTGACACAGATGGAAATATTAATTTTAAATATATTTGCTTCAAACCAATAAGATGATTAGGCTGCAAAATATGAACAGAAGTGTATAAGTAAAGTTGGCTTGATTTAATTTTAAAAAATCACTACACATCAAATTCATAAAACAGAAAACTAATATCTACCAAGTCTAAATCTTCTTTTATTACAGGATGGACATCTACTAGTACCCCAGCAAATTTCTTTGAAAGAAATGCTGAAACTTCTTGGATGCATTCTTTCTTAACCAAAATAAGAAAGTATGGTTGATAAGGCAAAGTAACTTTAAAGCGGCTGCCGTCTTCTTGAATAAAATAATAATCCACAGCACTTATCAGTCTTTTATCTTCGTCTAATATTTCAGTCTAAAGGAGAGTAAATGTTATTTTAAGCAATATGACATTAAAATAAAGTAAGTGTCCAAATTGTATTTTACCGTATGCATGTTTATCAAATATCCGATCCTTTCTTCAAAATCTTTAACTCTATCAAATCCATACTTGGAGTCTATTTTATCATTTTCAATACATTGCCGAAGGCGATATTCAGAATTATCTTCACTGGGAATAGAAGACAATAAATATAATTTGTATGATTTCAACTAGATAAGATTATCATCAAATTAAATACAAACCTATGGGTATTTTTCTTCATAGGTTTAAAACGTCCGGTATTCACAGCCATTATTCACTAAGATTTCAAACACTAAAATAATTTGACAACCAGAAAGTAGCAACAAATCAAGAAAACCTTTACATCAAAGTACTCTCAAAAATTGCGGGAAAACTTCGCGCCAATGTTGCCATTTCATGTCATCATTTTTTTTTAAATTATGCTGCTTTTATTATTTTAAATTAAAATAAGGTGATTTAAGAATAAAAGACTAAATATATTTAATATTTTATAAATATTTTTTATTCAGTTGAGTTAACAAACCTTGTAGATTATTTGGACGACTTAACCAGCCTTTTCCCCACCTCAGCATAGAGATAAGAAAAGGAGCATTTTTCGGTACACATACAGATACGGATCGGTTGATAATTTTTTTTTTTTTTTTTTTTTTTTTTTTTTTTTTTTTTTTTTTTTTTTTTTTTTGTACTTCCCTTCCTCGTCGTTAAGGCTATACGTGATTTTCCCGGGCCAGGGGGTGTGGGCTGGGATTTAAAAGACTCCCCCGGCACCGGGACGCGAACCCGTGTCTATGTTTATATCTTTGATTCATTTATCAGGTTGCCGGGCAACGGTGGTGCAGTGCACATGCGTTAGTCCATTCGGCCACCCCGCCCACGAATCGGTTGATATCAGAATTTTTGTATCTAGATACAACTGATACGAGTACTTTTTTTGTATCTGATACACATGGATCAGTAGTTTGTCAATACCTTCCTATTACTTTTTATCTGATACTTGGACTTGATAAACTGAAAATTAGATACCCGAGCGGTATGCATAATGGTGCTTGGGCTTGATTTCCCAATAATTGTATTGGATATTTTAATCCGACTATCCAACTGTAATTGATTACTGATAGGATTTGATATTTTATTTAATAATAATAATTAATTAATAATAATAATTTTTTTAAATATAATAGTTCTAATGACTATATAGTTATATCAGGTACTATGCAGATAATAATAATAATGATTTATTTATTCTGGAACAAGTCCTTTTAAAATAATGTACAGAGATAGCAATGTGGGCTTTGGAGCCTCAGAGAATAATTACAAAATAAACTGATTTATATAATGAATAAAGAAAAGAAAAGAACATTATTACCTTCAATCTTCAATTAAAAAAAAATGAAATAAAAATATTTAAAACGAACTAATTATTTATATACATATTTACAACATCTATTTACAATTTTATGAGAACTGAACGAATAAGAATTGATTGAACTGGCGGGATTTAAAGTTGGGGAGGGCATTGGAGCGACGGAAGTAGGATGGGATAGAATTCCATAGGGATGTGGATCGAATAATGAAAGATTTGTCGAAAGCAGCGGTTCGGTGGTATCTTGTATACAAATCTGAGGACCGATAACGGGTTTTGCGGGTCTTTAAAAACAATGATATAAACAATGAAGATGGCTCCTGTGAACTGGTTATTGGTCGTAAAAGACCTATGATAGATTCGAGCGAGCTAAGAGCTCAAAAACGACCGACAGAATCTATCCCAACCTCGAACAGTTTTCAGGTTCTAACCAACATAACTAATTTACAAACAGAAGAAGTTAGAAGAACGCCTCAAAACGATAAAACTCCACCAATTTTTATAAACGGTGTTGAGAATTACCATGCATTAATCTCATTTCTAGAAAACGAAACGGGTCCTAATATGTTTAAAACGAAGTCTACATTGAAAGGTGTCACTATGTACCCAGCAAATCCTGACGTTTATCAAAAATTAAATTCTAGCCTGCGAAATAAAGGCAGCGACTTCCATACTTACCAACTTCCACAGGGCAAATGCCCAAGGATTGTTGTTAAATATCTTCACCATGGAACACCAATCGATATCATTAAAGAAGAATTAAAATAGGTTTAAGAAGCCACCAATGTAGTTAACGTCATATCTCGATTCAAAAAAACCCTTCCTATGTTCTTTGTGGACATTACAAAAGAGACATTTAGAGAAGAAATTTTTAGTGTTGAATTTCTATATTATTCACATATTAAAATTGAGAAATCACGTCAAAAGAGAAATATTCCTCAGTGTGTTCGGTGCCAACAATATGGGCACACTAAAACTTATTGCAACCATCGACCACGATGCGTAAAGTGCGGTGAATATCATGAAACCAGCTCATGTTTGAAAACCAGAGACACCCATGAACTTTCATTAGACACTGTAACTCCAAATTCACCAACTTATTGGCCACCTCCAGACGCAAAACTCCCGACTTACTTGCTTTCTTTATTACAAAAGGATTAAATAACAATTACAAAAGTTGCACAGGGAACCGTACCAATTTCCGTCAATACAAACTCCGATCTTTGTTCTGATCACTCCTCAGTTCACATGGTTCTCTTCGACGCGCCTTCCGAAGCACAAAAAAGACCTAGGCTCATAAAAGGCTGCATGGACTGGGACGCATATAGAGACCATTTGAACACCAATCTTTCTGTTCCAGGTTCAATTAAATCATGAGGAATTAGAAGAAGCTGTTGAAAAATTCACAAAAACCATACAAGATGCAGTATAGGCCTCATCAACATCCAGGCCACAAAAAGCAGTGAACTTGCTCCATTATCCTATGTACATATGGGACTTGATCAAAGCAAAGAGAAAAGCACATAAAGTATGGCAGACTAATAGACTTCTTTCAGACAGTCAAACTTTTAACAGATTGAACAACTAACTTAAAAGACATATTCAAAAATTCAAAAGCACAAACTACTACAATTTTATTAACAACCTTTCGACGGACGATGGAAGTTTATGGAGACATACAAGGAGTCTTTTAAAGCTTCGTGAAGTGTCAGCACCCCCACGAAGGTTCTTGGGCTGTTTCGGACGAGGAAAGATCTGAACTCTTTGCTAACCACCTTTCCACTGTTTTTAAACCACATACAGGCTTAATTATTACAGAACACGATATTTTTGTACATAATAACTTAGACATACCGTTACAGCTCACACTACCACCACCTTCTTTCACACCATCACAAGTTCCACAAGAAATTTGACAATTGCCCAAAAGAAAAACCCCTGGTCATGACTTGATAACTGCTGAGGCGCTCCAGCAAATGCCAAGGAAAGCTCTAGTGTTTCTTACCACAATCTTCAATTGCATTCTCAGGACCACCAAATTTCCTATACAGTGGAAATACTCACACATAACCATGATTAAAAAGCTAGACAAAGACACTAACAATCCTTCTTCATATCGACCGATTAGTTTACTTCCAGTATGTTCTAAGTTATTCGAAAAACTATTGTACCCACTACTATTACATATACTAACAGACAGACAGATTATTCCTGATCATCAATTCGGATTTCGAAAATTACATTCAACAACACAACAATTGCACAGGGTGACTGACTACATCTCTACAGCACTAGAGCGGAAATTATATACAACCGGAATATTTCTGGATGTCGCCCAAGCGTTCGACAAAGTATGGCTTAAGCTTAAGACCATACTTCCACATACTTACTGCTTAATTCTCCATTCCTTTCGATAGATTTTTCTCCGTTCGACATGGCCAAGGTCTATCCTCAATTCGATCAGTTGTAGCTGGCGTACCTCAGGGATCAATCCTTGCCCCACTACTGTACATCACATACACACACGACATTCCTCAAAGTATCCACACTCTTACAGCAACCTACGCAGACGACACTCCTGTCATTGCCAGGCACGACAATCCTACAGAGGCATCACTTAACTTACAACATCATTTACAAATTATACTGACTGGTGTAAACTTTGGAAAACTCAATTAAATTATCAAAAGTCACAGCACATCACATTTACTCTAAGACCAGAAACATGCCCTCCTGTATACTTAGACAACACACCGATTCCACAAACAGACAAAGTACAATACTTAGGCCTTACGTTCGATAGGAGAATGACATGGGGTCCACATGTGAAGAAAAAACGAATCACATTACATTAAATCTGGATGAGGGATCTGCTGAAATAATGTTTATATACAATATATATATTAATAAATAAAGGCCATGGAAGGGATACCGCTGGGTATTGCTATTCCTCATGCCTATCAAGCCTTTTTATTTTTATTTTTTTTCTCTCATTATTACGCCAGCACATCTGCTGATTGTCGATCATAATTGAAAGATGCTGATAGAGATATGTAAGTGCAAAAAAAAAAAAAAAAAAAAACCCTATCCAGCACCACCCACCCCTATAGTCCGTGGCAATGGCCAGATTCTCCACTCACGACATGAGTGAATGTGGCTAAAGCACTCTCGCTCAATCTCCACTGGGTTTAGCCCCAGTGACGCGGTCGAGAGAGAATTGCAGGGATCTCCTGGAGTCATGCTTTTCCCTCCATAGTTGTAGGGACAAGTCTGGCTCGGAGTTCTCTCGCCTGATAGTAAATAGTATGTGTTCTTTTTTTATTTATTTATTTTTAGGTTATTTTATAGTGCATATAGTAAATAGTGTATATAGTATGTATTCTTTTTTTATTTATTTATTTTTAGGTTATTTTATAGTGCATATAGTAAATAGTGTATAAAGTATGTGTTCTTTTTTATTTATTTATTTTTAGGTGATTTTATTCTTATTTATTGTAAATATATTATTTATCTTTATAATTTATTTTAGTTATCATGCATAGAGTGCGAATGTGATCCCTGAACACTTATAAATGTCCTTTTGAGACAGATTGTAATATTTTTCAATAAACAAGTTAATTAATAAAAAAAAAAAAAGTCAATAACTAACAAAAAATCATAAATGATTACCTTGTAAAATGGGACACCAGCTCCATCAGAGGTACCTTTCAATTCTCTAATGTATTCAGGATAATATTTCATAACAGTTTGATACGTTTTGTTATGTACCTCTTGCTTATGTTCGGTGTTATACAAAGGGATATATGCTTTATTTAAATTAGGATGAGTATCCAAAAGAATTTTTATCAATCCACAAAAAGTACGTCCCTAAACAATAAATAGGTAATATACAAATCTAATCTTATTTT